AAAATGTTCGCAGTCAGCAGGATTCGAACCTACGCGGGCAGAGCCCAATTGATTTCTAGTCAATCTCCTTAACCACTCGGACATGACTGCACGAAATTCGAAGATGATGATCAGATACCATAGATAGGGTCATAACTAATTATCTACAAGCTTTTAAGGTAGAATCACCTGAACTTTTTTCCTTCTTGTAGCAACAGAAACATCATTACACTTTGCAGCTTTCGCAGATATTTCAACGCATAGTTGTAAGCGGCGATAACTTCTCACCAGATCCTCATTTTCTTCTTTGAGATCTTGTAACTCTCTGAAGAGATTCACATCTAAGATTCAATGGCATGAGCTAAACCTGTCAATTTCATTGCTCCAGTACTTTAGATCTTTTATCCGCTGAACAAGCTGCTGAGTAGTCATACCCTGCATTCGGATTGCTCTCATATTGGCTTCTTTGACTGATAAACGAGCCATTCGAACAATATCGTTCGGATCTTCATAAACATCTCGTTTAGACTGAAAACATAGAATTATAACAAATAGTGAAAAACCAAACGTACTCGAGACATTATTGCTTCAGTGTGTATCTTCTACCGACTGAGGTTGTGAGAAATGGCGAGAAAACGCTCGGTTGAGTTTTCAATCGCATTTCCTGAACTCAAGAAATCTTAAAGCAGCACACGACCATATTCAGAAAGCATGACGAGATGGGCAGACCGAGTGATTATGCGAATGAAAACGTTGTTTGACGGCAAAATCGGAACAAATATAATCAGATAATTAAATTTGGGAAATGGGTGGGGAAAATCCTAAGAATAACAACGAATGGATGCCTAATTGAATGTCGATAGACGGTTGTCATGACAATGATGCAATCACTACCTGCCTAACTTTGGTTGTTTTACATAAGACAGAAATACAGAAATCTTTGTTGTATTCTGAGTCGAAACACTTGCCAAGACGTTCCTTTGTTTTCTCATTTCTTTCTCCTTTCGTCTCTCTAATCAGCAGGTGCAAATCTATTTAATATATTCAAAATACTAAATTATTAGGTGGAAAAGTTTCAGCTGAGAAACATCACATTCCAATTATGAATGAAGAAGGTAAAGCTTCTCTATCTATCAACTCGACACCGATTGTTACAGGCAAATTGGACAACAATCCAATGAGTCCAAGGAACTTAAAAAGAAGGTAATTTCCCGCAATTTTCTTAACAAAGAGGGTCATTGCTCAACTACAGAGTACAAAAATGCCTTGACCTTTATGGCAATCTCTAAATTATTTCCAGTCTAGTTATCTATGTCAAATCACGAGCTTTCACAAAAATAACCGGTTTAGTAGCCAAAGACTGTCTCTGCAGGTCCTCTATGGCTGTTCGTTTTCTTCATTTTCATTCATATTTTCATAACTTTTTGTCGTTTGAATTTCAAAGTAAAAATATGTTTACGATAACTGATTGAGTTTCTTTCCCGTAAAACACTTGGATGGAAGTACTTTCGGGAGCTTTTTCGAAACCTTTTCTCTCTTGTGATGAGAGAAATTACCAGTTTATTAATTTGGTGAAGCCATAAAATATTGAATGAATAACCTCCTCTCGTCCGTGGAATCTTTCTCTTCTCCCTCCTCTCTCGGCCTTGGCACCTTTTCTCATCCATGTATGTATACGTAAAATCAATTTGAAACTTCCATACACTATACTTTCACTTGATGTTGTTGTTCCTTATTCCATATAAAGAGAACATCGATAAACAGAGTCTGAATAGTCTTTCATCTAACTGTCTCGTAAAACCTCTTTGAAATGTTGTTTAAAACTAAGCAAAAAAGCTTCACATCTTTTGCTGACGTCATTGCAGCGTATCAGTTGTCAGAAAGTTCTTTTACTTCGACTTCTCATACTAATCCCATTTACTAATTACCACTTCTATTCTATTCCAAGGTTGAAATGAAGATTGAAGGTTTTTTTCTAGCTTAGTCATCAGCTTTTACAGAATGTTTTTCCTTTCCTGTTCGCGGAAAGCGAATCTGCCTTCCAGCAGTCCTTTGCATTCAACCAGTTTTCCTTTTCAATCCACTTCCAATCAGCCTTTATCAGCCTCCTGTTCGATTATACTCTACCATTACGTCACTATGTTCTAACTTCAATTCTCATAAGAGCTCTTTTTGTTGTCTTTCCGTCCTTTCTTCTTCATTACCTTGCTGTTACACCATCTAAACATATGTCTACTGTACTTCCGTATTTAAAACATTACAAGCACCTTTGACCTTTTTTATTCTGAGCTTATTTGTCTGAGCTAAAATAAGCATGAAAACGTAACTCATTTTCGGGATGAGCTGAGTCATTCTCGTCATTGACTAGAATCTGAAAGCCGAAGCCGTTTTCGTATTGGTCACTCAACTTCTATTTACCCAGTCCATTGTTAGCTTACTTGGTTCGCCACTCAATCAAATAATTTCTGTACGCACACCTCATAGACGTTCTTGTGAATAGAAACAACTAATTATTTCTCTAAAACTTTGTTTTTAACATGCTTTACTCTCTCTTGTAAATAACAACCACGGTCTCGTATAAATCATATGCTATGCCACCCAAAAATATAATAGTTTTGAGTTCTTTAATCTTCTTTCCCTTGTTAAGAGCTGAAATTACTCATTTCGCCTACAACTCCTTTCAGTCTTTTATCTATTCCGACTTCAAACACTTACCTGGTCACTCTATTGTTAGAATTCTACTTCCAACCTTACCCTCGCTACTTCTCCATGCCTTTTCAAGAATTCCTTCACTTCTCGAAACTTTCTTCACTTTCATTTCTATTCTTTCAACCTTTAAGCATTTCTGCTTTTGTTTACTTTTATGTCATCACGTTTTCATCCGTCATTTCTTTCCTAAAGCTTTGTAAAGCTATTTGTTTTCAAACGGAATTGCAATGTCATCTACGACAGGTCAAAGTGTTTTTAGCGTTCTTACTCATTCTCTCAGATATTTTTTGATCTTGCTCAGTTCCGTTAGTTCAGCTGGTAGAGAGATAAACTTCTGATCTAACAGACGGGGCTCTTGCCCTCTACGAAACTAACATTCTCAACTTATGTTCGTTTTTTTTGGCTGTGTTATTATCTTATTGTTTAAGATGTATGAGAAATCATGAAAGGGAACCAAATATATCCGTCTGCTCCTCCCCAAGAGCTTTACTATGCTGCAAGACCACCTCCATATAGCTGGTCACCCTCACCTCCACCGGCCCAAACCATTCCCACTCGCCCACCTCTTGAAACCTCTTATAAAGAAGGAGAGGAGTATGAAGAAGTACAACCTGAACCTCAAAAAATAGCAAGATTTCGTGTAAGACCCGACAAGAAACGCAAAAGACATAACCCGCAACTGTATACCAAGAGGTGAATCATTAAAGACAAACAGCCTCGGGGAGCATCACTTATTAAGATCAGAACACAACATTTTTCAGGGGATGTACGGATGTTTTTTGTTGTTTTCTTTTTCTGTTGTTCACCGCTGGGTGGGTAGTTGTTGCTGCGATAGGTAAGATAAGATCTAACTACATCCTTCTACGTCGTTACTAATAGGTGTAATGTGGGGAGATCCGGAAAGATTACTTACACCGACGGATTCATTTGGTAGACGATGCGGAACAATGAGACCAAACTCTTACAATTATACGTTAGTAGAGATCTAATGAGAGGGTGCAGAAGCAATTTCATTACAGGACTCGTCCATATCTTCTCTATTTTGATATTACTAAATGCATATCTTACGCCACAGCTTTAGGGGGGTGTCAAACATCTCAGGTATTGCTGAAATTCTCACTCTAAAACAGAATTTGTAAGGTTTGTGTCGAAAAATGCCCATCGGAATACTTCTCCTACCTCCAATTGCAATCAGTATCCCCGGCAGAGTTTCAATCAAAAGTGAGCCACCGTGTCATTAGACCTCTCTCAAAAAGAAGTTAAGGTTTACTCGAACCTATACTGTGCGGATAATGTGGACAAATCTACGATCACATCCTTCCCCGTCTTGAGACAGTTGGTTCAATCAAAACAGTGCATCTCTTACACTGTGAACTCAGCGCCCGGTATATTGCACATCTTCAGTTTTATAATTGTATTGCTTTCTCTTTCAGTTTTGGGAAGATGTATACCTCAAGCAATTATTGGAGCTGCTGATAAAGTGAACGATTTACAGAAGACTAACATATCTCTTGATGTTCTACGTAATATGTTTGGAGATGATGGAGGAATGATTCCTCAGGATTATCAAATCAAAGGAAGTCAGGTCGTAGTTGGTGCAGTAGTTGATGGAGAAACTTCCGTATTGACAAAGATGGTTCATGATTTATCCAAATCATGGTGGCAGGTTTCTATCAAAGTACTCACCTCGTGATAACAAAATTCTCATTTAGGTTCTGACTTTGATTATAAGTGCTGGTGTTCTGGCTTTTGTCTGGACTGTTATTATGAGATTACTCGGTTCACTAATGATTTGGACTTCTATTCTCGTCTTGATGTTAGGACTGCTCGGAGGTTCACGGTCCAAAGTTGAAAACTGTGTTCACCTTCTATTCTAGGATGTGGATATAGTTGGTTGAAATGGAACGCTCTTGTGAAACAAGGAGCTGTTGACGATTTTTCTTTCCAGCCAATGTTCAGTGTTTACTTCGAAATGCCAACTACTTGGCTTGTAGTCGGTGAGCTCATTAGCATAATTTCAAACGATGACGCTACGTGAAAATGAAACACAGGTTCATTCGAACACGTTGTAACGCTTGTGCGGTTGATTGTGCATGATAATTATTTCTTTATATATTATTTTTTTCCAGCGATCATTCTCAGTGTAATGGCCTTAATTTTCGTTTTCATTCTACTCTTCGTTCGAAAACAAATATCTATAGCCGTTGCTCTAATCGAGGAATCAAGCAGGTTTTTCTTTTTTTTCGGATGGAGAGAGTATCAATTCTTCTTTAAGAGCCATTGGTAATATGATGTCAACCCTTCTTTTTCCTTTGTTCCCATTCGCTTTACATATTTTGGTATGTGTGTATTTGTTCGTTCTTCAGAAGTTTGAGAATATCTAAGGTTTTCGCATTGTGGGGAACTATCACCATTTGGGTTTCCTCATCTGGTCAAGAAAACTGTAGAAGAGTACCATATCCTGGTGCTTTGGTGACCAATACTAGCTCGCGATGTGATTGTGCTTTGTCTTATCAGGTAACACAATATCGGATTGATCCTTCTCAGTGCTCTTTTAAGGATACAACATGTGTATTCGTTACTATCACTAAAGATGAAGATATCGTTTTCTGGCTCCAAGTTTACAATCTTTTTGCATTCTTCTGGATGACTTGTTTCGTAGCTGCTTTAGGTTTATTCCTTTGTTGTCAACATCAACCGAGTTTCTTTCAGGAGATATTGCTTTAGCCGGTGCCTTCGCTAGCCATTATTGGGCTTTAGATAAATCAAAAGATTTACCGTCATTCCCTGTGTTGAGAGCATTGGGAAGAGCCATCAGGTAGGCCTACCGAATCATTTCTTGTTATGTTATCCGTTCAGATATAACATGGGGTCCTTAGCCTTTGGTTCTTTGATAATAGCAATCATCAAGATAATCCGAGTTCTTTTGGAATACTTTGAAGAGAAGTTTGGAAAGTCAGAGAACGCGATTATCAAAAACATATTTTTGTAAGTTTTCTTCGATGACCTCAAGACCTCACGAAATCGTTATTTTAAGGGCTTTGAAATGTTGTTTCTGGTGTATGGAAGTGTTCTTCAGATTCCTTACGAAGAATGCTTACATTATGGTAAGAACAAGTTCAAGAATGAATCTTCATTGATTTTCAGATGGCCATATATGGAAGAGGCTTTTTCACTTCAGCGAAAGATAGTTTCTTTTTGTTGTCCAGGAACATTCGAAGAACTGTGGTTGTCAACCAAGTAGCAGGGCTTCTACTATTTATAGGAAAAGCTATGATTACGATAGGAATGGGTTCGTTGACTGAATCTCAGAAATATCTATTGATTTGTTCTGAAGGTGTTGTTGCTTTCTTCTTCTTCTCTGGACAGTGGGTAGTTGAAGGGATTCCTCGTGTAGATTTATACTACTATTTTGTTCCAATCGTCATCGTTGTAATAGGTAAGAACATGATTCCTGTGTTAGTTATTGAATGCCATTTAAGGGAGTTATTTCATTGCTGATCTGTTCTTCGACGTGTATGAGATGGCTGTCGATACTACCTTCATATGTTTCTGTAAGCTCTTACAACTTTTCAGATTAGGCTTGTTCAATCACACATTTTTCAGTGGAAGATTCTGAACAGAACGACGGCAGTGCAGAGAAACCATTTTTCATGTCTAGACGTCTCCAGGAAATTTTGGGGAAGTCAAACGATTCGACCGTTCATCCAAAATAATCGGCGACTTATTTCGCACACTGTTTTACAAAGATTTTCTAGTCTGTTTTTACATTTTAATTTATTTTTGATTACAATACGATTTCGAGAACTGGTAGCACGGGTAGAAACTAATCATTTTTATGCTTATCATTTCATTTGATGTTTCATTTCTTTCACATATTTCGAATGGTAAAACGCGTAATAAAGTTTTATTGAATGAGTCCTACTATACTATACTTGTCTGAACGAAGCTAGAACCATATATGAGATCATAGAACTAGGATTGCACGCAAAGAAGCATTCCGTTGACGACTAACCACTGTTTTCACTTTCTGAAACATAGTTAGTTGCCACTTAGTCAACTATAACCGGAAGTAATTAACTCCACTAGTCGATTATCAACTATAACCATGTGCAGCACCACGGTTCTGAGCCGAAAAATTTTCGCCTGAGGCGTGCACATAAAAATTGGTCCCGCAACGACCGCGAGAAAAGAGATTCAAAATGTTATATTAGAGAGACAGAAACTTTGTTATATTATATTGTTTATGCAAATTAATTATTTTTACCCTTAGTATACGCTTACAGAATGTTCGGAGCATCTACAGGAACTAGCACAGGGCTTTTCTCCAGTACTCCATTGGGAAAACCTACAACGGCCCCAACGACAACGTAATGTTTATAACGATGACTATGCTAAACATGTTTTTACAGTCCTCTTCTGTCTTCTAATCCTCTTGCCTCAACTCTAAAACCTCCCACAAGCACCACAGATGAGAAGCTCTTATTCAGCGATTTAGAAACTGTGAGTTACTCGGTGAATAATCTTATCAAGCTGTTTTGAAGGTTGTGAACAACTTGACAATGGAAGTTGCGCATCTGGAACGTTCATTCTTATCACAAGCTTTAGAAATTAATGCTTACGATCGAGTTGTACGAGAAAACGAAAGAAAGGTTTGTATAACATTTTTTGAATATCATTTGTTATCGATGTAGCTTATTAATGCGGACAAGGAAATTACTAACCTTGAAGCTTCTCGTGATAGATTGAACTATAACTTGGGCTTCATAGATGAGCAGCATGCAGGTATGTTGTTATAATCATTATTGAGTACTCTCAATCGTTAAGAGCTCGAAAACCTCGTTAGTGATATTGAAAAGAAGTTGGGACTTCCCGATTGGACTGATTACTCCAAGCCTTATCCCATCGATATGTCTTGTGCTTCTTCAGCCGATGAACAGAGGAGAAAAATGTGCTTGCTCCTTTCTCAGGCCTTATAACCATTTATCTATTTCAGTATGCAATTGTTGACTACTGTTGATGCTCAACTCAAAGAAGCTGGTGATGACATCGACGAAATTATTGGCCAGGTGCCCATTTGAAGCTTCCACTTTTCTCATCGTAGTGTTCAGGTTTCTTCCTTGGTCAAAGAAAAAGAAAATGTATCATCCAATGTGATAACCGTAGAGCATATCCAGAAAGTTTTGAAAAAGCAGTTGGAAAACCTTGTTTGGTTGGATTCCAAGAGCGGTTTGTTCGATCATGAGTCTCCTAGATTGAGATTTTCGCTTTTCAGAAGAGCTCAACGTTAAGACTTCCAAACTCAGCCGATCTCTAACACAAGAAGTTTAAGTTTTGTATGATAATTGTTGTAAGATTTTGAGGTTCATAAACCATTCATTGACTGAGATCATCTCTGCTCTCCCATGTTCACCAACATTCTAAATATCTACACATTATCTATTATACAGACACACATATGATTAAAGATGGATGATATCTTCTCTGATAGAACATCGTGTAATCGAGAAACCTTAGAAAGGTATTCCCTTGAAGTTCACTGAAACCCACATCAGTATTCTTAAGGTTGTCCCTCTTAGCTCAAAACGTTGAGTCTTTGGATCAGAAGTTATCCGTTCAAAAAAGCTTTTTCCTCGAGAATCATCAGGATAACGATATCCTAGAACAAACGGCTTTAGTGAGTCTCCGATTGTCTTCTTCCATCCTTTTCTCATTTTTCAAATGATGGAAATACGTACGATACAAGCCGGGAATCAACTCAAGGGCAAGAAGTTAGAGATGTTGAAGCGAACCATCCTGAAGAAGAACATGCTGGTACAAAATCTTCAACAAGATATTGAAACAAATGTAAGTTCAACACAGGGGTCTACCATCCGATCCGTATTCAGAATAGAAATCAGCTCAAGTTGGGTATGAAAACTGAAATTCTAGCTGAAAGAGTGGAAGGCTTTAAACAAGAGTTCGCCAAAAGAGAGTTCGTAGACTGTCAAATGTTTCTAGTTTTTAAAATGTGTTGTCTAGAACTTTACTTAATGTGTATAAAGAGTTGCTGACTGTAAGGAAAAGAAGTTTGATAGCGGAGCTACGAAAGATTTTTCCAGTGCAGGTAGGACAGGTGCTTCTGTCTCTCTTTCATCCTTTGGTTTTCAGACCATTCAGCCATCCAATAAGGAATGCGTTTGCTCTCCTTATTATACCATAAGAGGAATACATTTCCCTTCCATTTCTATGTATCAAGGTAAGAGCAAGTTGAGACTTCATGCTTCATATATCGTTTTCAGGTCATAAGGAGTTCATCGTTTCTAGTGCCTTAGGGTTAATTGTACATTTTTTGAAAACATTAGGAGACATCCTAGATTACAATTTCCGGAATCCTGTTCATCATAACTCATCTAACAGTACCATTTACCAGAGTTCCATAGATAAACTGTGAGATCATCTCGCTAGCTAACTTTTCAACTTCACTGATTTCAGTATTCCTCTCTATAAGTCTGGTTGGAGAAATGATAAAGAACGATTGGACTCTGCTTTCTCCTTACTAAGTCTGTTTAAAATCTACTTGGTACATCATTCATCCTGTTCAGATCAAAATGTTCTTCAACTAGGAATGGATACAGGACTGTTCCTGCCATCGGAGAACATAGCTGCATCCATCTTTGAGTGGACAAATGCATTCCTCAAAAAGTTTGTTCATCGCCTTGTTAAGCTCTAACTTCCTCGTTAAGTTCCAAACCTTTCGATGTTTGCCGACCAAATAGGAGCATATTCAGTCCTGCGTCTTTGATGAAAGAGGAAGATTTAGATTGCGCCGATAAAACTCCTGGAGAGACACTGCCTGCTTCAACAGAAGCCAGAGGCTACAGATCTGAATAAATAATTTATTTTACAATTGAAAATGTTTCTCTTATGGTTTCAACCTAATACTTCCTCAGTGTATAAATTTCTAAATAACCGCCACTAAGGTCCAGATGGACAATGCTCCTACTAATCCCGAGAACTCAGAAGCCGGTGAGGAAAGTAAAGATGATGAAGAAGTATTCCCTTTTCTTTTTCTTGTTTCTCAAACCCTCTTTTAGTTATTACTCGAACCAAGATTGAAATATGATAGGGTTGTTGGTGAACAAGCTGTGAAGGTTTCCGTTGAGATTACATCTCCCCTAACATGTGCTTTTAGATGCTAGAAACAGAGGTTATCACCTGTATAAGTGTAAACGAGAAATTGGTAGCTATCGGAAGTCAATCGGGGAGACTATCGGTGATGGATCACTTAGGTTTCAGCAACTTTCCAGTTGGAGTGTCATTCTTATTCGAGCTTTCATCTTTAATCTAGGTTGCCCAACCTCATAGGAGTAAGGTTACCAGGTTGGAATTGGATCCGGGAGGAAATTTTCTGATCAGTTGTGGAAATGATTGTCGAGTAGTAGTGACGATCCTAGGATCTATGGAATCAGTTCATGTATGTACCTGTATAGAGCATGATCTCAACTGTTGTTAAGGTATTGAACCTGACGTTTATGCCCAGAAGTGTAGCTTTAACTTCTGACTTCTTAATAAGTAACAAATTCTATGTTGGAGAACGCAGTTTACTAGTTTGTGATTGGAAGAAATTGTTGAAAACACAAGTGAATCAAACATCAAAGATCATTAAAGCAGCCTGATTATTTAGAAAGTAATTTACACAGGGCAAGTGAAAGATGGACATATTATTCGGTGTTCCTGCAACAAAAATTATGTAGCATTCACGAATGATGGAGGCACTCGCATATATGACAAGTAACTCTGTTGGGTAGAACTACCGTTATCTGGGTTTTTAGACAATCTGATCGAGTACTATCCAAAATTCCCATATCCCATGACCCCAAGCTATACTTCACGGCTAAATGCCCCCCTTGCCATGCTTGGTTGAGTGGTAAGCTTAAGCTGAAAAATTGAAGTTTATCAAATAATTTGAAGATGATCTCATTGCCATCGGATGGGCGAATACGCTAACTATTGCCATAGTGGTGAGTAGGAGAACAGGAAATTGAAGATTTAACCTATTAATTAAGAGAAATTCTACATGCGACATCATTTACTCTTGGACCCTGCAAGGATTTTTATGCTCTGGTCTCTCTTTCATAATGAATAAAGCTAAAGAATGGTCACAAATTGTTTTTTTTGGTTTGAAACCTGTAGCAGATGATGACGACGAGGATGGCAAAGTGAAAATACAGCTTATGCTGTGAATAATCAACTTATTTCAGTCCATGTTTTCTACTGACTCTCTTTCTGGTACTGCTTCCACTCCACCTGTGATCCAAGTTGCTGTGCTGGAACCTGTATCGAGGGAGAGATTCAGATTAGTTTCTGAAGATAGCATTGCGTGGGACTATGGGGAATTTTTTCAAAATTTGTTTTCCTTTTTACAGCTTGAAAGTGCGTAATGATTCACAACCATTCCAATATCAACTTCATGGAATGCCTTCATGTGATACTTATTTCTTGATGGGGCCCGATGATTTCATTATGGTTTCCACTATACAGAACCAAAAATCACGTTTCTCATTCAGGCTGTTCCTTATAGTTGTTTCGATGCAGTAACTTGGAGAGTAGAAAACAACCTATGGGAAGAAGCATGGTCTTTGGCTAGGGAAAGGTTCTTTCTCCTTACAGTTTCTCTGAAGCTGATTATAATATAGGGCCATGGAGCTCGAGGGAACTAAGTATGACATGAGAACAGTAGGACGAGGGATGGTGGAGTATTTGATAGCTAATGAGGAAGCAAAATTAGCTGCTAATAAATGTGTTGAAGTGAGATTGACTAGATACATGTGGAAACAAAACAACTCATTTTCAATATTGTCTAGGTTTGTGGGAAGTCTAAAGCTGAATGGGAGTGGGCTGCTGGTCTATTCGATCATCTGAACATTGCTACCTTACTGGCTGATGTATTTTTTTAATGAAAAAATGCTTTATAATGCAATTATTCCAGGTTTTGCCCACGAACGATCCTCTGTTAGAGCCTGAATGTTACGAATGTGTTTTGATTGCCGCATTATACAGCGATATTTCGTTGTTCCGTAAACTTGTATATTCTTTCAATCCTGATATTTATAGAATTGGTATCAATATTATCAATGTCATCATATAATCAATCATGTTTAGGCTCAGTCATACGGGAAGCATTAAAAAGAATACAATTATCATTAACGCCGAAGCTAGAGAAAGGTCGGTTCATTAGCATAATCAAGAATTTGCTGCTGCGTGGATTACGTGAAGTTCACGTGAACGTGTCTCGTTAATCAAAAATCATTTTATGATTCTGAGTCGAGGGAACGGTTGTTTTCCTGCTCTCCAAGAAATTTCAACTTCGTTATTCGACTTTTTTACAGAATATGCACTAAGTGTAGAAGATGAAATGCGTTTATATAGTACAATTGCTCATTTATATGTATGTGAAAGAAATTTCAAGCCAGCCATCAAGATATACATGGATTTCAAAGATCCCCAAGTTTTCAGAGTTTTGGATAGGCATAACTTGTTTCATGAAGTTGAATTTCCAACAGTACTTCTATGTTTATGTTATGTTGCAGGTCAAAGATAAAATGTCTGAGCTGATGCAGATCAATGCTGATTTAGCAAAACGTTTGATGCTTGAGAATGAGAGAAGTTTATCCCCAACATTCGTCATGAGTAAACTAAATTCTGATCCCAAGTTAGAGGTACACTTTTCTTTTTGGTCCGCAGAATTATTCATGAGATCAGATTAAATATCTGGAAATCCTGCTGAGTAGAAACAGGGACCAAGATTCTCCGAAACGGGAATTTGCTGATCGAGCTGTGCGTCTTTACGCGGAATATGAACGGGATAAACTTTTGCCCTTTTTGAAAGAATGCGAACACTACAATCTTTCAAAAGCTCTGGAGATATGTAGGAGGAAGCAGTATATAAATGAGGTCTGACGAGAGCAATCGAGAAAAGAATGATGGTTTTGATTCTTAGATGATTTTACTTCTTGGAAAGAGTGGAAAGCATCTTGAAGCACTCGATTGCATGCTTCGTCAAAGACGCTTCACAGATGAAACTCATCTTAAATTAGGAGCAATAACTGAAAAAGATTATGAACCTCTTTTGAAAGCCATAGAATATTGCAAAGGTGAAATATAAAAGCTCCGTAATGCATTCATTTTGTTTCAGAACATGACGACATGGATCTTTGGAATCACCTCATTAACAAAGTTTTACAATCTCCCCATTTCATTTCGCGACTTTTCAGAGAAGCTGGAACAAGCATAGACCCTCTTGTGATAATTGAAAAGGTTATTCTGTTTTCGGCTTAATTCCAAAGTTTCGTCTTAGATACCGGTATCCATGGATATTCCTGACTTGCGAAGAGCTGTAGCCAAGGTTCTATCGGATTGTGCTGATCGTGTGAACTTGTTGAAAGGCTGTCGATTGGCTACTTATTCTGATTCCAAAGAGCTTCTGGATTCACTCTTGAAAACACAAGCAAAAACAAAGTGTGTTAATATTAGATCAGCATGCTTTGTGTGCAAGTAAGTGGAGAGTCGTATATGAGTCACGATCCTTCTACCAGGATGTCTGTAATGAATTTCTCAAGCACAATGCTGACATTTGGGTGTGGACATTCTGCTCATGAGCACTGTAGTAATGAGGTGAGATCAAGGACGTCTGTGTGACACAAAGATTTTTGCAGATGCAGAAGAAGCTCAATCATAAGGAACGCATTTGCTACGTGTGTAGCGAGATTAGTCGGGAAGAATTCATGTGAAGATTAACAACTGAGTGTATATATATATGAAATTTCATTTTGTGATTAGCTTATTAGAATGAAAATATAAATATTTTCAAAGTCTGCGGGAACTAGTGTGTGGGTTCAGTAACAAATGATAAATAATGTTTGCGAAAAAAAAACTTGTTTTCTCTCCACAACACACTATGTCATCATGTTTTCATACGTTTATTTGAGAAACAATTGGCTTGGATCATGCCTTTACTAAGTACTGAAAAGTTTGTGAATCAGTTGTTTCTGTGACAGAAGGGAGCTAGAGCAGAAGTGAGAGCAAGAGACAGAGAGGAACTGAGAGAGAATTAGAAAGAGAGACGCCGGGAGAGAAGTGTGAGGAGGCAGTATCAGCCAACAATTGACGATATTTACGAACTGCCCTGCACTTACTACGAAAGAATACTTTAGTACTTTGGTATCGATAGAAGTTCGTTGACTATATATGTGTAACATACTCTACTTATTCGTATCTTAATCTCTTCATTTAATAATCTCTTATGGTAATGAAATCGTTGAAAGGAAATATGCATGTGTGTATCGATTTATGTCATTCTGGTCCTTTTCCGCTTCCAAGGGTTCTCCCTTTCATTGCTGTTCCACTTATTTCGATCTTCTTACAAATAATGTTTCACATCGTTCATGAACTCCTGGTTTGCAGTTCCTATCCTCGTATTTAAGATTAAGAAACACATTTTGTTCGTAACCAAGCAACCGTCTCCTGCATTCCTCGCTCTCTCTCTCATTTACTCTTTCATGTTCTTTGCTTTTTTTATTGGTGCCTGACTCAAACAATTTTCAGAAATTTTTAAATGAGTACGGGGAAGAAAGTGCTGGACCCTTTAGTAGAATGTCCCGAGGCATCAGATTTTATTGATCATTATGATAAAGGTAAGCGAGTTGTTGTTATCTTTAATTGGTAATTTTTAAGAAAAAGACGCATGTGGACCGTCATTAGAAGCGTCCACTTCAGGTTTAATGGAGTCCTATCAAACAGCAACCAGAAACAAAACAAACGAAGTGAGTTAATTACCACAATAAGTTTTGCTCTCGTTTTAATCTTGTTCGCAACATTATGTTTTCCTTTTTTCACAAAACAAGTGTAAAAAGTCTAAAGTTCGTTCTTTCACTGTCTCTCTGTCTGTCTGTCTTCTTTTCATCTTGTTGTGAGGTCTTTTTCCCCTGTTAACCTTAAGGCTTTTACGTACTATCAATATTTTTCAGCAGCTGAGCAAACGACGTCGAACGGGATCACGCCTGAGTCTCGCAAGTTTGTTTAGTTTCTCGTCACAAGGTCGCGACAAAGAAGTCCAAAGAGAACGGTTTTGATTTCTGTTAAACTTCTCAATCTTTAACATCCTTGTTTAGATCTCGTTCTGGATATTCATACGAAGGTGACAGATCAGAAGTTTTTTCTTCTGTGTCTGTTAGTGACTTACGCTCAACAGGTTGCTGCACAGATACTCGACGGTAACGTGAAAACTATTTTTATATTGTTATCATATACTTTTCAGTAATCGAAATAGTGACGGAGAACCGTGTTTGATACCACCTAATGAAGATTATGAAACATTATTAGCTTTTGATATGGAAGAAGAGGATGATGCTGTTTTCAAAAAGGTTTAACTGTTATATTCTAATTCTCATTTTCGATAATTCTTTTCAGCCGGGAAATATTCGGCTTAGAGAATGTCCTTTATGCTGTATGAAACAACCTTCTTGTAATTTCCCTAAGCTTCTTGGTTGTTCCCATAGGAGTTGCCGTCTTTGCCTTATGCAGGTGATCATTTTTTTCAATTTCTTTTCCTAGTCTCCTTGTATAGTATGTTGAACTGGAAATCACCGAGAATCGTGTTGAAGTCTCCTGCCCCGAATGCCCAAATCACTTACACCCTACTGATATTCAGTATGTTTTTTGTTTTCATTCCATGCATATTGTTATGAGTTTAGACGCCTAGTTGGTAAAAGAGCAGGTTTAATCGAGAAGTATGAGAAGTTTTCACTTCGACGCTATTTACTCTCTGAACCTGATGCTCGATGGTGTCCTGCTCCCGATTGCGGGTAAGTTGTTTCCTAGAAAGTTCTTGTCTAACTATTTGTCATATCCAGATTTGCTGTTATTGCATCTTCATGTGCCGCTTGTCCTCAACTGAAATGCTTGAGAGAATCTTGTGGAGCCTTGTTTTGCTACCATTGCAAGGTAAAAAGATTTTAAAGATTTCATGATGCTCTTTTGTTAAGAGTGCATGGCATGCTAACCAAACATGTGACGAAGCCAGAAGAGCTCGCGGCGTTGTTCCCACCATTCGCTCAGTTGTAACTCGAAGAGTAACTGATGTATCGGGAGAAATTCATTATAAGCGAAATGGTTAGTGATGATATAGATAATTAGCTGTATGTTTCGATTTAGAATTGGTTGGAGATATCAAAGGTTGTCCTCGTTGTCATACTTACATTGTTAAAATGGATGATGGGTCTTGTAATCATATGGTCTGCGCCATGTGTTCAGCAGAATTCTGCTGGTTGTGCCTTAAAGAAATTAGTGATCTACATTACCTCAGGTTTTATCCTCAATTCAAATCTTCTTTCTATGATGTTGTTCAGCCCCACGGGATGTACATTTTGGGGCAAGAAGCCATGGACTAGAAAAAAGAAGCTTCTATGGCAAGTTGGAACTCTAATTGGAGCTCCTCTTGGTATTGCTTTAATTGCGGGTCTTTCTATTCCTGGTATCATCTTTGGCGTTCCCGTTTTTGTAGGAAGGTTAATTAGTTTGTGTCAATCTCCAACTGAATTGTTTCTCCTTTAGGAAAGTTCATCAACGATTTCTACACCGCTCGAAATTACGAAGAAGAACTCTGACAGCCACTTGTGTTGCCGGATCTTTAGTAGTTTCCCCTGTGCTTGCTGTTATGGCAGTCGGTAATACGGATGTGCTATTGCTATAACTTTATTTTATTTTGTTCAGGCGTGGGTGTTCCAATTATGTTAGCTTATGTATACGGCGTTGTTCCATTGTCTTTATGCAGAAGCGGAGGTTCGTCCTCGATTTATAATTAGATTCTCTTGTTATATTATAGGATGCGGGTTATCAGACTCTACTAATACTTTCAACGCTGACTTGTTAGACGAAGAAACTGATTTATGGAAAGATACAACCGGTCTGTACGCGTACACGAATTAAAATGACTTTCACGTTGCAGAAGAATTACGTCAACAAACATACGTGGTCGACCGCCTTGATGACAATAACTCAATTGCTCCTGGTCTTTCATTACAAAGTGCATTATTATCTAGTAACCAAGTGCGATTAATTGTACATAATAATAACAAAAGAACACGAAGTCCTAGCATGTCTTCTTCCGGTAGGAAATTTCTCTCAAACCACTTCTATGATTCCTTTCAGTCTCCGGAAGATTGAGCCCCGATGCTCGAGTGAATTATGAAGAAGCTAGTACGAAAGCATTGGCAGGAAGCCAATATCATTTCCATTATGATGATAAGGTAAACATGCGTGTTTTGAAGTTGGAAATGTTATTTATTCAGAGTGTTAACACCATCTATTCTGGTCATGAAGCCAATTCATATAATGATGAAGTTGCTAGTACCAAAGCATTAGCTGGATCTGTCCATGATTCGAAGAGCTTAAGTGAAAGTTGTCATAGACAAAGAATCGAGGATAATGGTAGTAATCGAAACAGTGTTTGTTAAAATTTACGTGATTTTTCAGAAGATGTATCAGTTCCACACTGTGCTTCCTCTTCCAACTCCTCTGAATGCACTAGGTAGGATAGGTTTCCTTGCAATCCAACATTGAATGATTTAGAATTCAAATCGATGATCCCGTTCCATCCACATCGTCAATTCGTCGTCGCGTGGAGGGGAGGAAAGTGGTGAAAACAACTGCTAATGTACATCCTATCCCAACATCTCCAGGTTTGATAAGCTTTAATGTTTTCCAAGTTGAAATTTTTTCTGTTTTTTCAGTTGTTGAAGATGAAGAGTTGATCGAGAGTGCTGAAGATACTCCCCCTTATAGTCTAGGTGTAACTACCAATCAATCACAACCTGGACCTTCACACATGGATATGTTGAAAGAAGAGCCTGATCCGTTCAAGATCCGCACCCTTCTTGATAATATGAAGCAAATGGTTGCTGTTGATGCTCCAACAGAAAGACCTTATGAGTAAGATAATTGAAATCTTCGACAATACAGTTCCCAAACTTCAGACCCGCACGCTCTGTACACTCTTCCAAATTCCGAAGCTCTGGCTCTGGTCGGAGCTTGGCAACTGTGGCAACTTATTCCAGTGCTCATGATTCTCAATTCACTCGGTTCGTAGAACGATCTGAAATGAGGATAGACTGTAACTTTCTATTTCAGGTCCGAGACCACTTCCGTATCTCATGTCCGTCCTAAAAGGAACTTTTTTCAAAATATTTTCACTAGGAGTAAACGATAAAATCAAATGTTTTATCAAATACAATGTACAATAACAGAGAAACTTAATTGTTTAATTGGTTTTTATTACTTACAGTTTTTTAAGATATCACATATCTTAAATATTGTTCATACTAAAGATTTCTAAAATGTGATATACATTCCAATCTAGTAAATTATAAATTTATTTTTCTTGTACTCTTACTCTACGAAACGAATGTTGCAATCAAGAACATAGTACTTAACTTCTAACAAATGAAACACTCCTCAACAATCTTTTAGACTTCTATGATTACAGAAGCTGATCTGAATCTATCATCCTACGATGGCTTAGATTCTATAGAGAAACAGCAATGCTCACGTTGCAAACGAAATCGAATGTATTTTTGTTATGATTGTAGAGAAAGTCTTCCTGGTGTGTTTTCTCCTTCTGTAACGGTTTGAGACTTTCTATCTCTTCCATTTCAACCCCTCTTTCAAGCTTCCTTGTGATGTTGATATCATTAAGCATCCTATGGAGAAGAATTCCAAAAGTAGTGCGTTGCACTGCAAGATTGTTGCTCCTAGCCAGACTCGGGTTGTTCTTCCTATACTTGTGTATCATTCTCTAATCGTTTAGGTCTTTGATTGGCCAAAAGTTTTTGATTACCGAGCTGAAGAAGATGATGGAAAAGGTGCAACGGTACTATTTTCGGATGTTCTGAAAAGAGATCATGCTTCAGGTCTTGGTGTTCCCTTCAAAGGACGCTGTTTCCATTGATAAATTTGTGAAAGAAAAAGGTCCAATTAAACGGATTGTAGTTCTCGACTGTACTTGGTTTCAAGTTACTCAAATGAATAGAACACCAGAAATACAAGGTTTGTTCTCGAAACGGCCTATTACACTTCCATGCTCAGGCCTACCGTGCGTTTCCCTCAGCAGTTACAAAACGGCTTTCTGGCGTCCTCAGCATAACTATAATGAGGTATTAGACATCGGTATCGCACTTATCAGTACTTGGTCATGTAGACGTTTTTGGCAACCATTGAAGCAATATACTATGCCCTTAGGGAGGTGAATGATATACAGATAGGACCATATGACAAATGTAAGACTTTGAACGAATGGCTCGAATGATCTTCTCTCATAGCTTTCGACGATCTTCTTTTCTGGTTCTTTTATACGAAGAGGAAAGTTTTATGCAAAAAAGAAGAATACGAAAGAAGAAAGGAAGGAAACCAGGAGAAAGAAAAAGAGAATTAGCCTCTCAATTGTTATTGTTTGTTGTTGTTTTTGTTATCTTCTGATAAAAATAGAACATTAAAATGGAAGTTGATTGATTGTTCAAAACAGAGGAAGTATCTCTCATTTAATGAATAAATATCTCTGCTTTCTTTTCAGACATGTTTCCGCGTTCCTTCATTAGACACTTCAGCAAGGTGAAGTTCTCCGACGAGGTAGTCATTCCCAGAGCGAAAGTTCAGTATAAGGTTGTGAAACATTCTGAAAGGGAAACGGATATCTTTCCAGGCGAAAAATTTTGAAAAAATAGATTTCGACGCCAATCTCATTAGCCATCTAGAGAAACTCTCACTCGTTAGGTTTTCGAATGAAACTGTAAGTAGATGATTCAGAAAGTTTCGATTCTCCACTCTTTAAAGGCTGTCAGAAATTTACGAGAAGCCGTTAACCGAGCTAATCGTTTGTTAGAAGTCAATGTCGAGGTTTAGTCTGTTTCTTACCGTTCTCACTTACTCCAATAGGGTCTTCAAGAGATGGAATTCGTTTGGGAGAACAGAGCTTGTGAACTACATGAAGATGTTGAAGAAAAGCCGTTGACCGTAGAGAAAGTATTATCTATCACCTTGATCGACTGTTATGAGCTTTCTTAAGGTACTGTCAAATGCCTCAAAAACTATGGAAGACTTCTTTGTGACACCTCCTGGAAATGTTCCTCTTGAAGATTCTGATATGAAACTAGACATGGAGCTCATCAACAAGTGATATCATTCGTATTAGCTATATAGATGTGTCATTGTATAAATTTTGTTCATTGAAGAAGATAAATCGTTTCAAATGTACATTTTTTTCTATTTTAAAACATACATCACTTCTGAGAGCGGTTCGTAGGTGTTTTGTAAAGTAACTGCATATCTTTATTTGGAGGAGATTATTTGTAGAAGAAAATTTTAATTAGCTTTTCGACTCACTGATTTGGAATATTATAATTGAGGATGGGTGACGTTCATTCGTCGCCATAGTACCGTATGGCTCAATTGTGAAAGGTAAGTCGACTAGACGGAATTGCCTGAAAGAAAAATCACAGATACGCTTATATGTCTGCTTGTGGGCATGTGAACATGGTTCTCTGTTACTCCAAGTCGAATATTTGCAAGAACATTTCTTCTTGACTCTAGTAGATCTGTATTTTCATGATATTTTCTTTTGACTACAGATACCTGTGAGCTCAAAGACTCATCTCGTATTTGGAGTAATATGCTTAGACAACTAGAATTGTTGTTGATTTTTAAATATTCACCTGAGCACGTCACCAATTATTTCGGTGTCTTTTCATCATTTCTTTATTTAGACGGCTGCTCCCATTCACATTAGTAAACTCCCATTTCTATTCCTCAATATTTTTCACAGGCTCATCCAAATGGCCATCAAGGCTCAGTTGGCTAAGATTTCGTTTAATCACAGCTTAGCCACTGAGCAATTTCTTTGTAGAAGTCTTTCATCTCATCCTTGACCTTCCTATGATACATTTACTTTTTTTATGTTTAGAGGGTACCAATATGAGTGCTTATACAAGAATCTTCGCTTTGTTCTGCCTGTGCTGTGCCATAATCCAAATTTCTTCTTTCACCGTCTTCGAGCCATACATGGAAAGCCAGTTCCCATCTTCAAGATCTTCAAGTATGGGTGAAGACATCTACCGGTATTTGATAGCTCACTCCAGAAAGCATTTTCTCTTTCAGAACTTCCGCTGATAAACGTCGTTCTCAACTCCGTAATTGCTACTTGTCTCCCGTACAATGTCTCCTTCCGGTAGACAACCAACGCTTCTCAAAGTTTCATAAGCGACTTGTTCGTTAATCATCGAATTAGAAGAAACAACCCATCATATTTGAATCCGATCACATTTACAGCAAAAATTTCAGTTTTCGAATGTTTTTTGAAATAGAATTATGTTGTCCAGATCTCTAAATGAAGTTCTCCTATTGATTTCTCACAAAGTATCCATTGTGTTCGGATGGGGAATAAAGATTCGATTTGTTATTATATACTATTGATCAGGACATCTCCTCGTTCACTACTATACATTTGAAGAGATCGGTCTATGCTAATATACAATACAGCTCACGTGGAACTCGTGAGCCACTCACGTGAAACCGCGTCATGCGTCGATTCATTTCTGATGCATTGACGTGAGTAAACGGTTGGTCATAGCTTTGTTTTACGGAGCGTATGTGCAATCTTCAAATGTTCCGGACCTTTTGGTATATTTAATGATTTATTAGTTTATAATGTTACTTCAAAGATATTTTGGTCAATTATCTTCCAAATTGGCCTGCCAATGGTGGGGAATGAAAGTGGTTTTTGATGTTTTGTGAAATAGTCCTTTGCAATTGTGTTTTTCTGAGTAATTGTCTGAAAAGTTTCCTGACAATGAGTCACCGAGTATGAGTTGAACCGGCTATTCATACAGGTTTGCTAACAAACTTCTCTCAACCTTTCATTCTTCTCTCACGATTCCTTTTTTCTATCTTTATAATTGAAACTGCTGTATAACGAAATATTTGATCATCCTATCTTATATTGTTAAACTTTAAAGAGTATCCACACCCATATTGTTTTATTATTTCTCTCATTAACTTCGATGAAATTTCTCTTTGATCACATGTTGTCTATTGAGAAGCTGAGAGAACGAAAGATAGCAAATTAAGAGAGAGAAGGTGCGGGAATCACGTGGTTTGAATTGAATTCCCTTTCTTCCCCATATTCGTCCTCCTCTAACTGTCTTTTAGTATCAAATAAGAAATTTCTCTTTTCATAAATGAATTTATTCAGCGTTGGATATGAGTCAGAGAGATTCCGCTTTTTACTTAATGAGAAACAGCTGGCAGATGAAAGTCGTAGAACTTGGTAGATGATAGAGATTCATGTTAGCTTCAAACTCAAAATTCCATTAGTCTCCGATTCCCTCTAATCTTCGCAGTTCTGCCAAACTTTTCCCCCAACCAATGTGATTTCGTGAACTACGGGAAATCAGCATTTTCCTGCTCAGCCTTGTAAGCTTGCAACAAATATTTGAAATGTTCTTCCTACTTCAATAATTGCTCTAATTCGTTTGAAAAGAATGACCCTGCTATCATCTTTGATCGCTAATTTAAATGTCTTTTGATGTATATGATACCTCAGGGGAGGCAAAGAGGTTAGGGGTCGTGTGACAATCAAATGTCAATCAAAACAACTGACTCATCAATCTTTCGAAATTTAAACAATGGCTTTACCATGTTTGATGAGGTTTTCCTTCAAATATAAAAATAATTCTGATGTTGTTGATCATTCAGCCTCCACAACACATGTGTTCTTAAGCTGTTACAACGGCCACCGTCATACATATGTTGTCAAGATCTAGTTGAGAAATAGGTAGGCTCAGAACTCATGACTTGAGCTTTCATCAATTTTTGAATCAGAGACTCTGTTTCGAAAATTCTATTTGTTTGTAAACTACCCGGAGTCATTGTATATCAGCAACTCCTTCATATTTCCTTGTTGTTGAAATTTGTTTCTCTCCCACCAAACAATGTCTTTGTTGGCCAACGACCCCATCACTCCGCCTGTCTCTCAATCTATAGTCTCCTCTCTCTTTTTCTCTCTTTCTCTCTCTTTAGAACTATCCAGTTCTTTTAAATTCCATATGCGTTTTTCACGCAATAAGAAGGAAATTTTTGAAAAGTTGATGTCATCACCATCCTCTTGCCTTGAATCTCTCTGTTTCTTCGATGACGACCATGTCGGCCCTTCTGATGCTGTCCGAAAGGCACATAGCGTAAACATGTTATTCTCTTTCTCTTTATTTTCACACTGTTTCCTCTTCGTATTGCCTACTCTTCTCATTGCGAAGGTGTTGTCCAGACAGTCAACCTTCCTTCGATCACGAGTTTTCTTCTTCACTAAGCCCTTGGCAAGTAATGTTTTCATGAATCCCTGGCTTCTTGTCTTTGTGATAACGACAGTTAACCCAGCATGATTGGGGCGTGAACAACCCACCCACCCTCATCTGAATCTACCCACGTATAAATTCTTCCATCTTACCTTACCCGGCCAATTTTTTTGCAAAACATGTTTCTATTATGATTTTTTTTCGTTGTTGACTATAATTTCATTTCTTATATCCTCTTAGCATGTAGTCAGATGGGATACTATCCATCATATTATTGACCTTCTTGTGACATTTTCCTTCAGTTTTACTCCTCTTGACCTCTCTCAGTACTGTTTTTATATTTTCGTTCATTTTCCAGATAATCATGGGAGATATTTCACTCAACACCCGCTACCTTTCAACCAACAGAGGAATCATCAAAGTTCTTCAAATCATCTGTGGATTCATCATCTGCTCTCTATTATGTGCTCAATGGTAATGATGATAGGAATCAATTCGAATCAAACTGTTTTATTCTAGGTATGGAGGACGCTCTTGCTTCGGAGAAGGACGTCTTGGCTTCTGCTCAGGTCTTAACTTCGTGTGCGTTGTTATCAACATTGTCCTCTTCGTTCTCAACTTCTTGAACATTGGAGCCTGGGGACTGGTAAGAAGAATACTCATCACTTTACTAATGAACTATCGATTCAGGAACGTATGTACTCTGTGGTGAGCACCGTTCTGTTCTTAATTGCTTCAATCTTGATCATCTGGTTCATCATTGAAGTCAATGCCAGCCGTGGAACTCTCGTCACATCAGCTGTAAGGGGAAAATAAAAAAAGAACGAAATGAATTTTGTTTGTTACAGGTTCTGATCGTCTGTCAATTCCTGCTCTACCTCTGGGACGTCAAGATTCTTCAAGGAGAATCTCCAAACTAAGCAGATCCGCTTAACCACAGCCACATTGCCTTTTCTCTGAAAGCTCATAATATGCAAAATACAGCCTTAAATGTTTGTGATTGATGTGTTTTCTTCAATTTCGAATAGTTTAAGAATTACTTTTCTCTCTTTCTTATGTATGTTCACCTTTAATTTTCTTAAAAGCTTCTAATAAACTGCTTCAATAAACAATTGTTCTCAATAAAAAAGTTGAAAAATCAAAAAAGGACAGAAACAGCTGAGGGGGTTGGTAGGCGAAAATAGCCTGAGGGCAAGGAATGATTGTCTTCTGGTGTTCAGACGAACTTTGCCATTCTTTTCTTAAAATGAAGAGATCAATTAATCGTTTCTTTTCGCCCAGAAACTAACAATTCTTAGTAATTCTTAATTGTTAGGACATCCAATGGGTAATGACCTCAGCCAACTTCCGTCGATCACGTAAGCTTCCTTTCGAGCTTTGTTTAGATTGAATATTCTCCTGAAATTTTAATTTTCCAACTTATTTGAATAAACTTGAGCACCTCCAAAAAAGCTTAATAAACGCAAAATGTTTATAGTTTTGAGCATTCGTTCTCGCTCTTCATTTTTCAAGTTCCATAATCATATTATCCGCCTCTCTCCCAAACTCTAAAAGACATTCAGCTTTAGCTTTAGCTTCTTCATGACCATATTAGGCTCACCAATAGATTCTGCTTCAGCAGGTTGACGGCTGTCAAATCCTAAAGTAACCATGGCTGACAAGATGATCTCAACTTCAAAATCTGCTTCATTTGCCTTAGATTCTGTTACTTACAGCTTGATTACCCTAGCTTGAAACGCAATAAAATGTTCTCCTTTAACGGTTGACATCCATCTGAAGTCTCCATTTGGAAAGGAGAGATTTTTCTTTTGCTGTCACATTCCCTCTTAAATCTGCTTGTTTTAATCTGCTCAGATGGTTAGTTTGAGCTTCTGACAATTGCCTGCAAGGGTCAGATTAAACCAATTATCTAAAAGCGTTTGTTCCATTGAGGTAACAAAGCCAATGAATGAACAACCATCTATCAGCCTTGAAAAGGCTTCAACCTCAGTCGAAAGCTTCATGCTCTCCTCGCTTTACATTCTTAATTTCTCGTTTAAGTTACTTTTTCTCTCTCTTTCTCCTGCCCGACTTTCTATTTCTTATTCATCTAACTTACCCGTCTCTCCCAACAATCCCCTTCTCTCTCTCTCCATCCCTCTTTCTCCGCTCTCTCCCAAGCCAACTTTCTCCTTTTGTCTTTTTAAGCTTATCATACATTTGATGATGAAACTTGAATTTGTTTCTTTGTGTTTGGAGAGTTTCCAATTCCCTTCTTCCCTCCAATCCGCTAATGTAACAGCTCATAATATCTATTTAGTTCACATTTTATACAACATAAATCAATTAGTTTTTGCTCATCTTTGGCCAAACACTTGCAATCTTTGGATTTGTCTTCATGTGAATCGTTCTCTCTTACTACTCTCTCTAATAAATTTTTTATTTTGGCCTCCTTAGAAAAAAAAGATTCCGACGTGTTCACAGCGAATGTCTCATAAGCTTCTTAAGAGCAAAACAGTTAGAAAAGGAAAGTTCCAAAACTCAAAAACTTTGTTTTCAAGTTCATAGAATCGTTGATGGATGTGATGATAACAGCATGAGATTGCAGATACGTCTTCTGAAATTCATAAACCTTATTGACAGCTCCTTCTGTTTGTCTTCGCTTTCCACAACCTTATTGCCATTCATCAAACAAATATTTTGTGGCCACGAAGATGGTAGAAAGAGCACACAAATCTGATTTGTTGTGAGCAGATCGCAGTCATCTGGAAGACGATTATCCTGTGCTTAAGCAACATCCCTTCAAGGAGCTAGCTTTGTTCATACTCTCTCCCTCTTGATTACTTTCCTCATTTCTCAGCATGCCTATCTCTGTTACTCTCTTTTACCCTTCCATTCACTCTTCCAACTTCTACCCTGATCTTCCTTCTTATCCGTCAAGCCGTCCTTCCGGTGCATGAAAGCGTTTTCAGCTTTATCTCATTTTTTGCATCCTCTCAGGAACTAAACTGTCCTCTTTAGCACATTCTTCTCTTCTTCTGATCTTCTTCTCCAAATAGTATCGACTGTTTTTACTCATCTCCTTCTACTAGTACGGCTGGTTCTGCCACTGAATATATTATCAGCTTTGAGCTTTAATTCAATCCTTACTCGATTTCACTCTAAAACGCCACCGCTAACTGAGATTAACAAGCCCCAAACTAGAAACATAAAGATATCCATTTATGTCGAAAGCAATGATTGTAGAAAGGCTTTCCACCATTTTTGCTTTTGCTCAGCTTCCTCTCTAGCGCTTCTCAAATAATTATAAAAATTTTCGGGAAAAAAAAGAAGATTGTCAGCTTCCTTACTTGTTCAGCCTCCGAGATTGCCTTCTGAAGTCTCTACGGCTGTCATTTCCTTCGTTTGTTAAGAATCTCCTCCCTCCTAGACTCATTTTCTTTTCTTCGTTCAGATCAAGCTTAACATCCATGAAATTGGTCAAATTTCCATATTTTTGCTATTTTTTAGTGCCTTTTTCTTGTTCAAAGTAGTTCTAATTTTTCTTTTTTTGAATTATTCATTAACCTTTCTTGTCGAGAGAAATGTTCTCTTTACCAAATTTATTCACAGAGAAGAAAGGGTGGGGGAAGTAGAAAGGGAAGGAAGGGCTAGAGATGGAGGGAATGAGAAGTAGAGAACATCCATGTATAATATAAATAATATTTAAATAATAAAAGAAGTTTCTATTGGGTGCTATGGGTTGATCCATTTGGCCAGGATTGCCTATGTTTTCTTTAGCTCCCTGCCTTCCCTCCTACTCTTCTCTCCTTTCATCGCCAGAAGAAAGATTCCCATCGAAATGAACTTTCCCATAAACTTGTCACTGAACTAATATGTCTTCTCTCTGAATAGAAGAAGAATACGAAGCACAATGTTACAGGATGAGATGAGTGAAATTCGACTGATATTCACTGTAATTCATTTACTTCTCGTAGTTCTTGGAGTTGTCAACATTCTTCTTATTGTCTTAATTGCAACAAAACAGTCAGTCAATATGAATGAAGATGAGAGCTAATCATCTGTTTCAGTTACCTAAGATCAATTACAAACGTTTATATGTTATGTCTTTGCTTAGCGGATTTTGTCTATTTGACGGCTCTATCACTTGTTGCCACCACAGCTCTTAATAATCGAAGTTGGCCCTTTGGCCAAGTTGTATGTTCATTATACTATGGAGCTGAGACTACAGGTATATTTCTCTACTTCTAACATGTTATATCTTTTCTTCGTTTCAGCCAAGTATGCCTCAGTGTTGTTTATTACATTATTAGCTGCTGACCGATATTTTGCTATTTGTAAAAGTGAAGTTGCCAGAGGATACAGGTTCATCGAACACATACGTCCTTCCAGGAAGTACTTCTATTCCAGAAACTACCATACAGCTATTGGGCTAAGTGTTTCTGCATGGATTTGTGGTGTAGTCTTCAGTTTTCCCTTATATTATTATGCAGAGACGGTAAGTGAAGAAGGACTGAAGTAGCATATCCGAAATTTGAAGAAACTTTACCGAGTGAATGGAACTGAAGGGATTGTAGATCATTACGCCTGCACAGTAGCCTGGCCCGATCCACATACATCAGTCTAGTACGAGAAAACAAAGAATTAAACAATTTCCACATTCTTTTTCAGTTATATTATTGCCTGCTCAATTCTTATTTATATAGTACCTGCAGTAATTGTAACATTCTGTTATACGAGGGTTTATATTAAATTACGAGAGCATATACGGGTAAATTGCCTGAGGGCAAAACATTTTTTTCTAATTTCCAACTATTAAGGGGTCTCGTCGTCTCGTTCGTCAGAACTCATCTAGATATCGAAGGGTAACAGTAATGGTTCAACGAGTTGTTCTTTTCCATGTTATTTGCTGGTAAGCTTCGTAAAGAGAGAGTGAAGGGCGAGAAAGATGGGATAGAGAGTAATGGAGAGAGTAAGTTAATATTCTAAAATTATTCTTTCCAGGACTCCTTTTTGGGTTTTCAACCTTCTGTCCATCGTTTTGGGTATTCGTGCGAGCACATCATTTTTGAAAATTTTCTTTAATATACTCCATTTACTTCCATATATAAACTGTGCCATCAATCCATTTCTCTATGCTCATAGTGCAGAAAATTTCCGAAGAGCTTTTCGCGAAATAGTTTTTTGCCCATTCAGGTAGGCAATTCTACAGATGATTCAGACAACATTAGCTTATTAAGTTAATAATAAATGTTTTCAGAAGAAATGGCATGACGTCCGGCAATTCTGCCCTAGAAGCAAGAAGCACCAATTGTAGGGCGACGAACAGGTGATTCAGAAAATAGCCTTCCTCACATTTCTTTCGTTTTTCCACTACATGCCTTATTTGGAGATCGTTTTCAGTTTACTTTGTCTTTCTTTTTTCGTCTTCTTCACACATATTGCCCAGAGGCAATGTTTCCTTTTCTATCCTACTGCACACATGCACACACACGCAGACACATACTCTCACTCACCTACTCACTCACTCACTCACTCACTCACACACACATACACACCCAGAATCTGCTTTGAAAAGACATATCCACGTTGTTGAGTTTCATCTTTTCAGTCGTCTCGAAACATCAAATGCATTATTGAATGCAGATGGCCGTAACGTAATCGTTCCCGTGGAATCGCTGTCCATATATGTCGCTGAAGCTGAAACGACTCATAATGAATCTGGTGAAGAGAACAAGGATGTGTGGGTGGTATCGACAACTTGAGCAAATTAGATGAGCTTTTACGAAGAGAGAAAGAGGAAAAAAAGACATCTAATTAACTATATCACATAGTTAGTGAGCTTTCCTTAAAAATATTTTTGCATAAAGATGATGAAGCGAATCATCGTCGTCTTCTTTGACGTCAATTCAGATGACGTCAGCTATGTGTGTATGTGTATGTGTGTATGTGTGTGTGTCTGTGTGTGTATGTGTCTGTGTATGTGTCTGTGTGTGTGTGCATGTGTGCTTCTTCAAATGTTTTAGTTTCATTCACTTTTTGTTATGAAAAAGCGATTATTAGACTTTACGGGGGGAATCAGATGTTAATCATCTTAATTATTTATTATTATTATTATATGTAATTAAATATTTTATTTCTTTTATATTCTTTGCCAAACTCATTTGGAACAAAGAGAACAACCCGTCAAATCGATAAATCCCAGTATTATGTATAGAACATGACGTCACAATTCAGAAGATCATAGGTTTTGATGGCAAATATTTCAGCTTTTTTTATAAATGAGGTAGAGAGAGAGAGAGGGAGAGAGAGAGAGAGAAAGAGAGAGAGTTTGTAGAAGGAAGAAAGAGAGAGAGAGAGAGAGAGGGGTGTGAAGAGATTTCAACTTAATTGAAGTTTTCTGTTTAACAACATGTAATTTTCAGCTCCAATTGGATTTTCCCTTGTTCCGCGTTCTTTTGAGATCTGGAATTTGCATGGATTACGTGTGAAATTGCGTGATAGTTTTGCTTTTTGAGCTTTGAATTGAATAAAAAATGAGTCAAGACGATAAAACGAGATTGATCTACCGAAAGTGCAGAAAGTGCACGTTTTCACGTGGCACTCACGTAATTCTACGTCACGTAGTGCAAAATGAGAAGAGCTTCTCAAACAAACTTCAAACTTTATTTTGCATTCTGAGGCTTCTCCTTTTGAATGAAAGAACGAAAACGACTCACCGTATTCATATACTTATCAATGGCTTCTTGATGAGCCGACTCGATTGTTAATATAGCGCTTAATATTTGAGTCAGAGTTGATAATAGAATCGTTCGGTGCTTTTCACGCTCTTCCGGCTGAAAAGATTTCATCAGGTTCCTGGCATCCCTCACTATCAAATACCTTCAAATGGTTTCCTTCTAGTTCAGGAGGTAAAGGAGAATTTTGCTGGGAAGTATCGTTTCCTTCTAGGAATGTTTTCCAAATGGTTAATGTATTCACATGTTCCACCAATAAAACCTTCAACAAATGTAAACTCTCTCGTTTATTCAATCATTCTTACGTGCAGAGATTCCATTTCTCGTTCGAAATCGCTGTCGAAAAGATCACAGAGTTCCGACTTAGATGTTAAGCGTCTAGCTCGAGCCCTCTGTTTATCAATGATTGAAAACCTTTAAAGAAAGAAATGAAGATGCGATTGCAGTGAAGCAAAGATATACCAATCATTAGCTTCGATTATCGAATTACACGCAAATGATATTTCATCCTCATTTATAGTCTTCAGAACAAGAATATTCTTATTCTCAAGAGTTATGTTTTTTATATCAGTCAAGGCTATTGTACCCTTCGGATCCAAATCACCTGAAACGTATTCAGATCAAACACCTCGTATACTAATGTAAACAACCTCGATGACTTTTTTGCCACATGATTTCCATATCTGTTAGAATGACGTAACGCTTCTTTTGATGAAGCATCTTCCGCCATGCTGGACGAGCTCCACTTCTGGTTTCAATCAGATATCTGAAAAAAACTAACTTGAATAGTCCATAATTGAGAATGAAAAGAGAGCAACCGTTCAGGACGGAGCCAATGGCGCAAATAATGATTTTTAGCGTTCACTCGGGTTTCACGTACATGAAGTGTTTACGTGAGAATTTTACGTGAGATGTTTTGACGTGGGATATTCAAATCGTATTTCTGTTTTTCATTCATTTATGAGATTCGAGTTTAAATAGCGGTTGTGTTTCAATAGAATGTTTAAACTGGTAACTGACCCTTCTTTGAGAACAACGATACTATCAGAAGAGCTGCAGGATTCGTTGGAGTACAATGAAACTCGATCAAGGAATCGAACCATTTCGCATCGATGACGATCATCTGTTATTCGAGTTAGAACCTCACTGAGCCAAGGTTCCTGGAAAATGAACGTTCAAAGAGAACAAAGAAATAAAACTTACTTTTGTACTTAAAGATTGGTCACTAACACAGCTGTTTGAAAGTCGTTGGAGCATTTTCGATAGCAGTAACAACGTTCTTGAAACACGTGAATCCTATGAAACGTGATGTTTTGACAGAAGGAGAAAAAGAAAAAGCTTACAGGTGAATCTCTCTTCAAACCGAAATGCTTCGGATTTAGTATGGCGGCTGCGAAGAACCTCATAATGATAAATGATGATAGAGCCAATCGCTCCACATCGATTCTGCCTATATTTGGACATTAAAAAACAATTAGCATAAAAGGATTGTTTACCAATTTTCTCGGCAACAACATTCCGCAAATCGGCTAAAATGTTTTTAATAGGTAAAGGACACCTTGAGACACTATCCATTAATCGATTGAAAATCATTTGGAAGTATAGTAGTAATTGAGTCTTCAAAAAGATATTTTTCTAAATTTCAAACAAAAACCAGCTCTTACTGCATTTTTTTCGACACTTTCGCCTTGATTGACACGTGCAGGATCAATCTCACAGCATTTTCTTTCTTTGTAAATCTTAGTAAAGAAGATGGATGAAAGCAAATGGAACGGATATCTTACTTTATCAATTACAGGTTTCAATGTGACTAGTAGATAGGAATGACCGTATATCTTCAATAACTCATAAAGCATCTTAGTTGCTAGTGTTTGACTACGAAACAATGTATTATAATCTCTGGAAATTCGAAAAAAAGAAAAAAATAGAAAATGTTTCTCCAAACATGGACTTACTGGCACTTTTGAATATCTGTGATATAGAGAGCGACAAGTAACGGCCTGAGATGTCTTGAATATGCAAATGTTTGAACTAATGGACGCGATAAGAGCCCGAGATCAACCTGTATACAACGTAATCTATATGATCGTATGAGTGTTTATCTTCAAACCTTAGGTAAGTTTTCCATAATTGATATAAGACTGGCTGAGAAAGGATTAACTGTTAAGGATGAAGCCAGCAGAGACATCAATGGCCTGCAAAATGTCGATTTTTCTTTCATTTTCAACATTTTTTCGCCTCTTTTGTGAGAAAGACACAAAAAATAAGGGAAAGGTCAGAAGTACTGAAGACGGAGAGGAATGCAATGAAAAAAAGCTTTAAAATCTTCTCTTCTGATTCAAAAAATCAATGGATAGAATCATCTGATTAGTGAATAGATAAGAAAGGAGACGTAGGTGAGAATGAAAGATGAACGATTTTCATGTCGTGTACTTGGCTCGAACGCACATATCGTTGTTTCCGGAAATTGAGAGAAAAATAAAAAGAAGGAGAAAAAGAGATATTTGTTAGATAGAGAGAGAGAGATAGAGGGTGAAAAAAAAAGATATTTGGTATAGAGAGAGAGAAAGAGGGAGGGAGACTGATGGACGTTTGCAATCATTGCAGAATAGGTGGGTTGAAGGCGTCGCGTAGAAGAGAAATGAAAATTGAAAAGAAAATAAAAAAATAAGATGAATAAATTATGAAAATTTATTTTGGTTGATTTTTGCGAGATAATCTTTACAGCTGTATAACAAGACGGGTGGAGGAGGGTGGAAGAGAGATTGGTTGACATTCGATGAGATTTCTTCTCCGCCCCCACTCAGCTGTTCAAATGTGGAAGATATTTGAAGAGAATTAATAATATTTAGTAAAAAAAAGCTTTAAAAGTCATAAAAGATGATTTGTTAGTTTAATGACACGCAAAAAAGGAATATTTGAACATGAAAACGTTTGGAACAAAGAGAGCAAAAAAAAAAAAGAAGATTTTTGGTTGCAAAGAAATTGAAAGATAGGGATGGGTAGCAGTAGCAGCAGCAGCAGCAGTAGAAACAGAATATGCAAAAAGAGAATGCCAGAAGGAGAAAGAGAAAGAAGAAGAAATGAAAACGACTTACTGATAAACTTCAGCTGAAAACACATGGTCAGCCGTATATGTGATGAGAATTTTCGCCTACAATGGTTCGTTTATAGAAAAAGAAGAGAATTAAGCCAAACTTCTCCCAATGAAGGATTAATGATGTTTTCAGATCTTACAGCGACTGTTGTTGATTCTCCTTCTTTAACATCGCCACTTCCGGGACGTAAGTAAAACCATTTCGTTGGGCCATTCGTCCACTTATCATCCACATCAACACTGAAATTTTATTCAGAAATTCCAGTTTTTTGAGAATAATAAAGGAAAAATCGTAGTTAATCAACAATTAAATTAAAATTTTTGTGTTTGATTTTGCCATTTGTTTCATAAAATTCTACAAAACATTTCTTTTGACTTAACTGGCTAATCGGAAATAAATTTGGTTGAAGAAGAGAAAAGACAAAGAGGACGAAAGAGAGAAGGATAGGGAGAGGCAAATAACGACAAAGTGAAACATGCAAAAGACGAAATACATAAAGAGAGAGAGAGAGAGAGAGAGACACACACACACACAGAGATTGTACTGCGTGGGCGTTCGTTGGTAGTACTTGAAAGTTTTATTATTTAAACGTTATTTGAAATCAAATGACATTCATGAAATTGATGAAGCAAAAATGGAAAATACGACTTCTAGCTTTTTCTTTTTTTTTTGTTCGAAAATCAACTTTTCAAAGTTTTGATGACGGTAAAACAAACAAAGAAGTTGATTATGACGTGAATTTGAATAAAACCGTAAACGTGAGTCACTTCGAATCACGTGAGTCACGTCATTTCACGTGAGTCTTGACGACTCATTTTCATTGATGTAGTCGTGATGAACGGTTGTGAAATGAGTTGAGAGAGTGAAAGAAGAATAGAGAAAAGGAAATTACTAACCGTACTTGTCCATGATAAACAGAATTTAAACCGCATAATAAGTCATGCCAGAGAGTCATTTTGATTGATAACAAGCCTTCGTCACATTCTATCTTCAGCCATTCTTCACTAAATCGTCCACGATGAATACGAAGTTTTGCCTCCTGCTTTAGAAAAATGGATTTGAATTGAAGAAAAACGAACAGAAATTACTTTTGTATTTGGCGTTGAAACGAGAAGATAAAGTTCGTGATCGTCACTTAAGCCTAGACCACTGTGATCAACAACTCTGAAAAATAACAAGAAATTCCATAAGAAATTTGTATGAAAAACTATTTGGAACAGAAGGAACGATAGACATTTCAGGATAATTTTGAGAATGAAAGACAAACAGAAGGTGGTGGTGAAAAAAAAGAAAAAAAATGTGAAAAAGATAAAACACATCAGACATAAAATAGAGAAAATGAAGAGAAGAAAAGATAAAGACAAATTACATAAAGAGCAAGAGGAGAGACGTCAGAACAAAAAAATTTCTTTGAGATAGCAAAAACAAAAGAGAAATTTGTTTTTTGTTTAGTTTGACAACTAATATTCTCATTGAGAGTACGAACATGAAAAGCAAATTGTGATGTCTTCAAGTGACAATAAACGAGTGATAACCTCAATCACAAGTGATACTTCCTGAACGATGACGGAAAGATCACTATCTGAGTCGAAATAGCTTTTCAGCAATCCGATTTTGAATCGAAACGTTAGTCAGGGGCAAATGAATAGAGAATGATTCGTGAAAGTAGGAAACTTCTGAAGAATGTAAGCCCTAAGTAGTAGAAATGGGGAAGTAGGAAAGAGTTTTTGAAATAAACAAATTGAAAAAAACAAATTGTGATGTAAGAAAGTGCACTGCAAGTACTGAACTCCAGAGGTTAAGGAGGATTTTATAAGGAAAATTGATTTGGGCAGGGAGTTTCGCAAGCGAACACTTGAGTAAAGCAGAGGTATGGCGAACAGCAGGGGTTGTGCAGGCAGTATAAAGTAATTACCAGCAGGGTCTATACAATTTCATTAGTAATATGTTGAAAGAAATACCGTTCAAATGATTGGGAAAGGTGAATTATGAGTACGGAAGGTGTAAAATGTCTGAAAGAGACTAGTTTTTCTGGGGTGTAAATGATGTTTTTCAAAATGAAAATGTGGTTTAGAGGTAAGAAACGAGACTGTAATGAAGAAAATGTTCAAATAAATCAGAGAACGAGGTTAAAGAGAAAAGGAAAAAGACAATCAAGTTTAATAAAGTTTTTCGATGTCTTAAAAATCCGTACCGCAAAGAGAAATGACCATTATCACGTCGAATATCCAGACACAACTGCCCTTGAACCTCAAATTTATTTTTGATGAGATATGATAGTGAGGGAGAAAGCAACTTCTTGACATTTGCTGACTGCTTTCAAAGGTAGAACCATGTCGTTTCCAGTATTCTTTATGATTTCAAGACGATTCAATGATATTCTTCCAATAGGACGAGGTGTTTTGCCAGGTGTACGAGAGCCTGGAAGGATTTGTAGACACTAATTCTGCAACTACAGTGACAACTTACCTTCTAGGACAACAAGATGAAAATTGGTGAAAGTATTGCTTCCTTCGTAAAGAAAATCATCGAGCACATTATCACTGGAAAGGGAAAACAACTTTTGTAAGAAAAAAAAATAACAAACGTCGTTTCACGGACCAACGGAGATGAGAGGTGTATATCCTTATGATCTAACTTGGCTACTAGGAAAATTGGCTTATTTCCATGACCTAAACCACATTGACACTAAGCTCAAACGTTAGAGAACTCTGACCTTTCAAGCCTTTTAGAGAAACAACTTTACACCTCAAACTCTCAATCATCCGCAAGTTTCCACATCTTCGACCAATTTGCTCAAAATATTCAGTTGAGACCAAGGATTGGAGAAGAAAGAAAAAATAAAAGTTTACTTGTTTTTTTTCGCTCATTGGTCTTAAGATGAATGGAATCGCTGCCATCGGATCACTTATGCCACATTGGGATAGCGGAAGAGAATCTTTCGGTGGTGGTGAGATAGGTGAAGGAGGGAATTGTGGTTGACTGTTGGAGGCACATCCTGGTCCTCCAACAACCAAATCCAGCTTCGGAGGTGTTGCTCGTTGAGCTAATAAGATCTTCAATCAGTTTTGTTAGGGAGATTTAAAAATATGAAAGCTAAACCGCTTGATCTCCTTTCAATTTCCGATATCGGATGGATAAACGACCTCCACACTGGCGAACAACGGGGGACGGCTCCCTGAAACTTGACCTTAAGAGAAAGAAGAAAAATTTCTTTTTTTTCTCAGAAACGAAATCAATTTGCAGAAAATGGGAGAGATGAAAACTATGAAAAACGAACCGATGATGGGACGTATGAGGATCATAAGCTTTTATGTAGTTTTCGTCAGGGATTGAGTTCATGGAACTGGATGAGCTCTTGCATTCCCATTGCAGCTTCAAAACAGTTTTCTTAATCTCTAACTCCAATATATCTACCTGTTTCGAAATATGAATTGTGTCCTGAACTGCTAAAGAAGTTGACGGTTCAAGCTCGATTTCGTCTGATAAATTTTGTTTTTGAATGTTTTCATTCTTGTTCGAAGTCAGGAGGGAATCTGGTGATGAGAAGCAGGCAATCTCTTCCTTTTGGATGCTAATATCTCTTTTAAGTTGATCCATTTTCTCATAAAGGCTATACATATCTTTGGGAAACATCTGGAAAGCAACGAAATAACATTTTCAGAAAATTTTTGGAAATTTACTTTTTCAACCGGAGTTCCAACGGTTGAAGTGCAATTCTCAGTTCCATCGTAGAGATCAAAACAAGAATTATCCAATGAAATTTGAGATCGTTGAGGTCTTCAAGAATGAAATTTGAACAGAATTTTCCCGGAACTAATACCGATATGAGCATAAGGAAGTGGAGAGCAAAGTTGTACAAATGGAGTCATTGCTTGTTTGATCTCTCATATTTTCATTGATTGTCCTTAATGGATATGGTGGTGATGTGGACGATAGGACACGAGCTGTGTCATAATCACCCATGAATGATGATTCCTAATATTGAAATTAGTTAAAATGGTTGTCGACCAATTCTCCTACTAACCTCATAGACATCATCATCTGAGAGCAAGGAAGCTCTTCTTGAACCTTGTCCGAATAAGTCTATCTAGAAATTTTCAAGTATTCAAATCTTCTCCTCTTTGCTTGACTTACATCCACATCGAGGCTTCTCCTGTGACTTTTTTTCCGTCGATTCAACGGAGGATCAAAATCAAGATCAATAGATTTTGATAGTTCAGCTATTGTTTCACTCGAATATTTAAAGCGCATTGTCGAATCCCTCAGGGCGTTCGCCCTTCTTGGGTCGTTTAGCAAGTTGTCTAATGATTTACAACTCATCGCAATTCCATCTAAGGACAGAAGAATGATGATAAAATTCCATAAAAACTCAAACACGACAAAAAAGGAGAGAAAAACGGAAGAGAAGTCTTATTTCTTTGCCAATAGTTACAAGATAATTAGTGAATTCTCAGGTTCGGGGCATGGAATGCCCTCTGGAAGAGTATAATGGACTTCCGATGTTAATAGATATCATGTGAAGGCACACATAATCACTAGCGACAAGCCAAAAAAAACGCGACAAAGACGAAGATAAACAGAAGGAAAACAAGAATAGGAACTATCAAATATAATATAATGTGATCAGGAAATGAATAAGCGAATAGCCCTCCCCACCACCCCCTCTCTCTCTCTCTCCGACTGTACCCTTTCCATCATCACAACTATTCCCACTCTCTTAGTTGTCAACCACTACCACTCATCACTCTCAGCAACAGAATATAAATGAATAAATATAGCAAGTTTTGAAAGAAAGGGAAAAAATGAGAGAAAAAACGACAACCACGTCGTCGTCAGACGTTGTTGTAGTAAAATGATAAAGAAAATCTGAAGTTGGAAGGGAAAAGGATGACATTCGAAAGGCTGACGCCGTTGGTGTCGATGAAGACGACGAACAAAACAGAATCCTTTTTATAAAAATCAATAGATGTTCAAGAAACAGAACCATAATATAGAAGAAGTGGCAGTCGATAACAGCATGATTGAGATGAGAGAGTGAAGAAGAGAGATTGATAGAGGAAGAGAGAGATAGAGAGAGAGGTTTCTAATACTTTTCCGGTTGCCACTGACTTTGAAGAGAAGGATGTGGGTGTGTTTTACGTGGAAACGTGTTCTTTTTTCCTGTCTATCGTACTGGCCGTCATCATCTCCGTCGTTACGTCGTCAATTCTTCTGCTTCATTCCCATATCATCTCCTTATTCGTATTCTTGTGTGATCATCTCCCTTCTTCTTTCTCTCCTTCTCCTCCAGTTGATGGAGTCCAGCTCTCTACCATCAATTTCCATTCTTATCATCAATATAATCAACGGAGAAGGTCATTTGATGAATTCCGAAAAATTACACATAAGATATAAGCAATAATTATAATTTATTGTTATAAAAAACAAATAGCAAGATCGGGGACAGGTCAGGCCAAGTAACAGTTTTCGACAATTCGCTAGTGTCTCAAAGAGCGATTCACCAATTTCTTCATTCAGATTAATCAAATCAATACGGCAATTAATTTCCTGTTACATTTATTCATCCATGTTCTTGTTGGTTACTGATTAGGGGAAACGGAAGTGGCGAGAGGGCGAACCAGATTTCTTAGTTCTCTCTCATCCTCATACCCTCTATCTCTTTCTCTCTCTCTCTTTCCTTCTTTCCAAAGTTAAGAAATACAAGACAGGTTATTAGAAACTGTAAATGGTCTTCCAAATTATTCCAAAATTAGACTTTCAAATAAGAAACAGAAGAGTACACGCCATTCCAAATTTATCCGGAAGACTATGAGAGCCAGGAAAAAACAGACATGACATAGGAAGATTAGGCGACTGCCTAGTCCCATCTAGCTGACAACAGCATGAATTAAACGTTATACTATACAACGAAAGGGATTTCTAGAAAAACCAATGAGTAACTTTCATATATCACAGTGAGAATATGGAAAATATTAAAAATACATGTTTTAATTGAATAAATTATTATATTAATGATGTCTTCTAAGCCTCCACCACTATTGTTTTGGCTAGAAGATCATAAACCGCTCGGTTATACTGGAACCCGAAGAGTATGGAACTGACAGGTAACAACATATTAACAATCATATTCTTCACCAGTGATCGTAACAAAGAACTTAAAAAAGCTGTTTAGTTGTATAAGACGACATCCAACTTACTAAAGGAATGGAAGTTTTTCGTCTCCGGTTACTATGACCTCCATCGGGTTAGCCGTAGGAATAACCGTATGAGCTGAGATTACTTTGAGATTCAAGAAAATCTGAAGAAGAATTCGTCATTTTCCGATTTCTAAGTGTCCTTACCTTTCCTGGTGATGCTCCAGGAGGAAACCATAAATAGCCATAGGACAAGAATATTGCCTGAATTAAGAGCTCAGAGATATAAAGCTGATTTAGGAACCTCCAGAATGCTTCCAAATACTTTAAGCACCATTTCCAATGGGAAAACATCCTGTGTAGCATTAATGAAACTTTGCATATCAGCTTCTTTTCCAATTAGCTTCTCGTAAGGTGACAAATCCCTAAACAACTCTTTGAGGGAGTATATGAAACGTTTCTTACAAAGCATCAAAGCTTATAAGCCAATATATTCCAAGAATTTTTACAGAAAACAACAAAAACCAATCGATAAGTTCGGCTAATGCTCGTCGTGGCAACGAAGCCATCCTGAAAACGGAATTTATCTCCCGTATTACGAACTGTTTTACTTATAAGTTCCTGTGAGTAACCGTCTTCCATTGATTGACACAATCGTGTTGTTATTCTGTTGATTCTGAAGAAGGATTAATGAATGCACTGATGAATTTACTAACTATAGGAGTTGCATTTATGTTTTGATTGTTGTTTGGTGGTACCTTAAAAGAATTTCTTCAAAATCATTCTTCTCATGAAAACGTACGGGAAAAGGGACTGCGGATTGTAAAACGGCTTGCCAGCATCTTGTTTGGAAAAGCTGAAATAGCAGAAACATAAAAATAAATATCCATAATATCTTCTTACCCATTTACGGACTTGATCGGCATAGTCTGCGGCTCCATCATAACTAACAGGATAATTGGACAAGCCGTGGAATCTGTGACGACATGGAATGTATAAGTTTGATATTCAACATTTCTCACCTGTTTTTTATGAAAACCTTCTGATTTATCGATGCCCATGTAGGTGAAGAACTCATCGCGGAGTTGAAACAAATCAGCTTGGCCTATCGGACGCGTGCGGCCATATGACGCGACGCGATAGTTGTTCACCCAAAAGGCCAATAAGCTACGTGAATTTGTGAAGAAAGGTTGTTGTACATATTTGGCTAATTGGAATATCTTCTGATATATGCAATCGATACACTTTCTTATCAACTAAACAGATTTCCAATATTTGTTTTGTGGAAGAAAGTCTCCTAACGAGTCATCAAAACAGGAAATAAAAGATTTTTTGTTCATAGTTGAGAGATCAACCTAATTATAGAAATTATCATAGTTGCTTGCGAAGAGACTGCAAGTTTTCAGAAAAAGAGTTCATTTCTACGTCAACGACCACACAGTGCGGTTGCATTCTAATCATCTCTCCATTTTGCTCGAAAGTTCCATTGAAACTGACGTATTTATCCTTTTCTAAAGGCAATAGGAGTCATTAGAGATTGTAAAGGAAAACATCTGCAGTTTGATAAAGGTTGAGCAGAAGAATAAACAAGCAATTGATTATACTTTGCATTTCTTTGGAGAAATTTGAATAAGAACCTGTTCATGAAAGGAAATCAATAGTACATTGTAGTTGATATGATCAGTTCCTGCTGTCTATCGACTGTTTTATAATTTATTTTTACTCTGTTAACACTATCGTCATAGCTATGAGCATGCGTGAGGAAATAACACAAAATATTTTTAGTCTTCAAAGAAATTCCTCTAATACACTAAGGTAAACTTTCCCATTCGAACATCATTTGCATTACTGATTCAGTACAAATATAGAAATTTATGTTCTTTTAGAGCTAAATGTCCTCATATGTCTGGGTTATATGAAAAATCGCGTTTGTTCGGTGGACAAGCTGTCGGTCAAGCATTCCGAGCGCTACAAGAACAAATTGGATTCGATTTGATGCCATGCACTATTCATTACAAATTTATAGCTCCAGGTACATTAAATGCTTATGGGTGGAAAAGAGATTTTGATGAAGGCAAGATAGACGTCGATCTTGATTATGAAGTTGTTCAGTTGGAAAATGATAATTATCGAACACTAACGCGACAGAATGGAAAATTGATTGGTTCCGCTTTCGTTTCCGTAGGAAGACAGTTAATCAGTAATCCTTCACCTTGTATTCGTAGATTAACTCGAATGAGGACATTATCGAAAAACTCGAATTAGACTATGTAGAAAAGCCCAACGATCTCTTATCTGTTGATCAGCTCCTAAAAAATATGGGATTCAATGAGGTACATTTGGATATTTAAGCGACATTTCGTCGAAAACATCGTTTTCGTGAAATTTTAAGAATTCGAACACACTCAAGTATTTAAATTCTAACATATTCGAATTGAAACTAGTGGAATGGTCAAGAGTTGCAAAGCAGAAAAACATTCACCGAAATCTCGTGTGGATCCGTCTATACCCTGATTGTCATGGTTGTTTCGTGCATGTACTTAAGTTCCTGATTTCTATTTCAGAACATGTCAAGTCAAGTCATGGAGCACAGTTAGCACTCACATTATCAGATTACTTTATTATATTAGTTGCTGAGGTAAGACGCAACGCTTGACCAGCTGACTTATGATTGAAAATTAAATGCAACCGTTCCCCACGCGTTCAGCAAGTAAAATGAAATTAGTGCACGAGATTGCAAGCTTTCGAATTTACGCGCGAAACTGTCGCCTCTAGCTCGTACACTAGTGAGTCACGACAAATAGTTAAATTATGTAAAAGAGGGTAGCAAGTGTTTTCGCAAGCAGTTTTTGTAAAAATTAAGTATATTTTAAGGATATTTATAATGAGAGTGGTTATCGTGCTCCTCAAGCAGCATCTCTACATCATTCCGTGAAGTTGCATAAGCGCAACTTCGATATCAATGTAAGTTTGTTTGATTGCGGAAATGGAAAATTTCGTTTTGTTTGAAGCCATACGGCTGGATGTTGTATCGAGTAGAAGCGGAAATCATCAGTAACCATCGCGCCATTCTAAAGGCCCACATATACAACGAAGATTTTGATTTGATTGCTTCTATCACACAGGAGGCTTATATTGTTTCCGAAGCCAAAAAGTCCCGTATATAGCATTGTGTTTTATTTATTATTTTATTCTGTTTGCTTAAAGTTTCCATTTGCTGTTGCCAGTGACATTTCACACGTTTTAATTTAATTGTTTGTTAAAAATACTTCGGTCATGGCTTAAATCCATTCATGAAATTACATAAGATGACGAGTAGTGGATGGCAGAGGCCATGTGCTCCATTCGCTCTTGTTCTCTCCTTTCAGCATATCCTCATTCTTGAGTTTTAATTTCGAAAGTAGAATAAGGGATTTCGTAGATGAATAGCGTAAAGCAAAGGATCTTAGGCAACCTCTTTTACCAAAATGTCAAATCTACGTCGTCAATCGTTTATTTACACTTGAAATCATCCTGTGCAGCTTTACCCAAAGTACGTAATTTGATCTTTTAAGATGAAATTAGAAAAATAAATGCTGGTTATTAAATTTCAAATGATGTTATCTTTGGATAAATATGATGTTTTAATAACTTTACGAAGGAGCTGCAAATAAATGCCAAATATGTGGGTGGGCGCCGTGTCATTGAGAGCCCGGTGAGCTGTGAGGTCAGATACCCAGAATGACGAAATAAGGTTGTGAAGCTCATTGATGTCTCTCTATTATCATGTTCTGGGACAATCCATTTTTAGCATGTTTGTGCTAGAAGTTCATATAGACAGAAATACTTCACCCCAACATCAGATTGGTGATGAGCTTTTCAATTACCAAATATGTGAGATGTGACGTTGTCATGATGTATGAAGCACATGATGATGACGTTTCAGAATAGAATATAGTAAAAAGAAAATTCTTTTGTCTTAATATAGCTTCGAGTTCAAAAGATGTTTCATTAGGATAAATGATTTTCGCCTTAGTCTCAAAGGCGAGTTCGGAATGCTGCCCACAGAATGTCTTCTCAATTAATTCATCATGCCATATAATGACTTCACAAATAAAACATATAACACTTCCTCGTTTCTCAAAATTTTCTCAAGTTTCGTTCATCTTGAACCTTTCTCGGTCAACCTCTCCAGAAAAAACGGCTATTTTCAAAGAAGTTCTAGAGATATCCACGTTTTCTTTCAAGTCTATGTATTATATGATCGTTTTCAGTGGTTCAACGAGTGGGCGGGAGCAGGTTGGCACAAGCTCCGCCTTTAAAGCTCATTCTCTTGTAACTCCGCCTGGGAATCCAGTGCTACCAAACGTTGTTCCCGAATGTTTCCAAGAAGTTTTGTTCTTTTAGCTGTTCTTGCTCTTCTTATCATCCAGATAGCTCAAGCCCAAAGGTTTGTTACTTTTTCATTTCTCTTTCAATACAATAAAACTCGTATAGCTCTAATACTCCTTTTCTGTCCACTAATTTTCCATAATTAGCATAAAATTGAAAATTGTAATCATTAGAAGCTTTTCATTTATTGCCGTCAACATGAGGACTTTCATCAACTTGACGTGTTTTTCAAAATTTTTGAAGCCTGAAGCCAGCCATCCATCAAGTTTTTTGAAAAAATCAAAAAAGTTTTTTTTTGCAAACTTTGAGATTTTTCTCACCTGCGAGGTTCCCCGTTCGCTTGTTACAACCACCCGAAATGGCAGCCAATAAACAAAATTAGCTTATTTTCGTTATTATCGATATTTGTATATATTAACTGACCCATGTATCGTTAATAAGAGGTCCTCCGGAGACTCATCAGCATCCTCTTCTTACTATTTGACTGAGGGACGATTATAGTGGCTTGACCATATGATAATGCATAGTTTACGGTCATCACAATATTTTCGTATCCAGGAAAAAGGTTGTCAGAACTATTTGTTGATCAAACATCAACAACTCTTAGAGAACAGTCAAGTGGTGAAGAAGGAGATGAACGGATTTCTTCCGCAAAATACTTTCCTCTTATGGCTGAGCATAAATCAAATGATAGCCTGATCACGTCCCAGTTGCAGCTGTTTCCTAAATGTTTCGTTTGAATGCCTCAACCTGCTGAAGTGATCTTATATTCTATAAATAATTTTTATTAATAAGAGTACTAAACTGAAAGACGTAATGTTATTACATTAGCCTCGTCAAAAAGTCTTTTGTTAGTCATATTTCAAATATTCTCTTTTATAGTGATGAGTATGAGTTCTCTCGACAACTGCGAGCATCCAAGCCCAAATTCATCCGTTTCGGTAGAGCAGGAGCCAAATTTATCAGATTCGGACGTGCTGGAGTAAACACATGGGTTAGTTTGAATTCTAAATGTGCGCTGATGTCAAAACCTATAGTTTATAACGATTGTCACAAATTAGAACTAGTGACTAAAATTTGAGTGTTTTGGCGACAAGTTGACAAACGTCGTTCCAACTGGTAACAAGATTGAGGATGCGAAGAAAAGAAAGTTCGTAATGATCGAAAGCTTATAATTAGTTATCCAGAGTTTGAAAAATGACAATACCAAGAGCTTGAATGCTGGTCCAGCAAAGTCTGTTTACTCAAAGCATCAAATCTCTTGTTATTTTTGTCCAATAGTAGTAGCATCAGGTTGAGAGAGAAAGAGAAGGAGAGAATACCAAAGAAAGACAAACCATTAAGAATCATTGACTTCAAAAAGGCGACAAAACGTTTGAAATATAAATAAGCTTTTTTTTGTGAGTTACAAAGGCTATTGTTTTCAACATGATCTCGGTTACTAGAGTGAATGAAGAAGGAAAGATTTCATTTTCCAACTCATCGAACTTCCGAATCTTCTCTCAAGCCTCAATCCCAGTGGAGTTTTGATTACTCTTCACAATCACACTTACTTTTTACATCCCATTGATAGAGGAGAGCGAAAGCGAAGTCTTCCTCTCCACATTCCATTTCGTGCATGACCATAATCACTCAAGAAAACTAATGAAGCTTGCGCAAATCAAAAGCAGAATTGTCTTGCCAATTTCATCATCACACCTAATTCACACATTTCGCACAATTTTCGCCAAGTTTGCATTTGGAAGGAGGGGGAAGTAGTGCCTGTTGGTCATTCGCCAGCCAGTTGAAGGGTGAGAGAAGGAGGAGGCTGCAAATCGTCATATCTTCTGCCTATAATGACGATGTGTGTATGTGTCATCTAATATTCCAGCAAATAATCGAAATGACTGCCATTTAAGGATGAGTGCGAACCTTTTACTGCAAAACATTTATTGGCCCAGATCTAAGCCATATGACTTGGCAGTCAAAAAATGACTGCTTGCTCCAGACCCTGCTCAGCAAAGCGTTTAGGGAAAGAGGAAATCCTCTCTATCCTTTTCTGGCAATTATCAATTTTTTGGTGTGGGGAAAGAGCGCGCACACAATCCCTGACCAATTACCCATTTTCAAAAAAAATTTCATGTGTACATGTCGAATTTGGGATTGAAAGGACAGATTCGAAGTAAATATTTGAAATATATGCATGATATTTTCATAAATTCGTCTTTAAGCAGCAAGACCTCAGGGGAAGCAACTTTTGGCCTGAGGCTAGTTTAGAACGAATTGAGACCATCTATGGGGGGCATTAATGAACAACGAATTCCAAACTATGCTTGAAATAAACAAAACGTTTGCAGGACAAAAAAAGGATACCCGTTTATAGAAATCGAATATTTCCTTCTTCTTTCATGTAATCGTAGAGTGTATTCTCCTTAAAGGTACATGGCATCCCTCAATACGGAAATATAACTTCGGAGACTTATAAGCTCATGTCATGCTATCAAACTACCATTTCAACAATAACAACAAATGCGACATCCCCTCAAAAAGAAAAAAACATAATATTGCTCCCCCGCTCCTAAAACCTCAACTTGTCACCTAAAGGCTTAACTCGTTTTCCTAGAACCACGTCAGGGGTCGTTGACTAATCTAAGCAAAAGAGCATTTCAATTGCAAACTAAACAATTTTCTTTCCAGGACGATTCTGTAATTGACCGATTGATAGACGAGGATGACGAAACCGTCGTGAAGCGAGGAGCGAAATTCATCAGATTCGGCTGAGACGTTGTGAAACTTTTCATATGTACATCTCGGATGCAAAAACTCATAGCTCTTATAAGATTTTTGTCTCTTTTTGTATAAATTTCCCCCCTCTATTGTCTATCTCAGTCACCTTGTGTCGGCAGACGTAATAAAAAGTCTCATCCTGATAGTACTGAACGGTACTTATGAGTGAGATATTTACTTGTTATGAATTATTGACAACTATGATTTAAAATTGAACTTGTTGTGAACGTATAGAACAGCGATGAAAAATACTGGAAAGGGAAGTTTTCTGAACAAAAGGCACTTTCCGAGTCTCTTACCTACTATTATGAGCAATCCAAGAAATAATGAATAAGAAATGATCAGGCCGATTTGCACGGGAGGAAATAAGAATGTGAACCAAGGAAAGAACGGCTGAAAAGAAAATGGAGATTTCAAGGACATAGGAACTCACCAATAGGAAAAGCCAACAGAAGAAATACACGGCGATAGTCACATAGCCGAACAGAAACAATCCTCCAGCTATCGTACTTTTCTCCATATAAACTAGAAAAATTGCAGAACAAAATTTTCAGAAAGTGCGAGAACTGAATGACGAAAGGATCGTCTCATCAAACAGAATCCAATTCGAAAAATAAATTTATTGAGAAATTATGTTTCCCCCATCATTTTCATCACATTGTCAACTATCCTTTCGTAAGTAGCGGAGTTAAGAGAAATTTTAGCGAAATAGTCCCAGATCACTTGGGACCCTTCTGGTTGTTCGAAATAAGTTTCGTGCAAGTCGGAATCCATGCCGCAAGCTCTGCAAGTTCGAGGTTTAGAAAACCAAAAGATCATCCTGCTTACATTTTCCAAAGAACGCTCACAATGAGTTGTGTATGCTTTCTTTCAAAGCCCGTTATGTTGCTCGGCTCCAGGTGGAAACTTGACACAAGATCCACCAAACAGTGTGAACTCGACGACGTCTTTCCGAAGAAGCGTTCCATTTTTAGCCATCTTAGAATAAATTGTTGAACTGAATTGTTTGTCTAGCTTACGTAGGTTTGAGAGATTCAATAAGAATACGAAGCCGTTTCCTTCTGACATCGACTGAATCCACATCTGGTAAATTAACATTTGCCTTAAAAAGGAAAATGACACCCATGCTGAGATTTCCTCTTCACGTTTTCACAAATATCTCCATGCATGTAAGCTAATAAGACTCGGCTAGAATCACTAGACGGTTTCCTTCCTCCAAGTTGGACAATCTCTGTTGTTTCCTTAGTCCACCAATTGCTATGAAGTGCACAATGTAACAAGGACTTAACAACTCAAAGATACTTGAAAAGTGTTGTTACATATTGCAAGTCTTCTTGATTTGGCAAAACTACTTCGGTGCTCTTCAACACCTTTGCTGTTTTTGATGGCCCCTGCTCCACATCAGGATAAGATTCCTAATCACACTTGGTTGAGAAAATGAACTGTAGTCTTACCTGGCCAGGCACAGATGATTCTGCACGCACAGTTTCTTTAAGTTTCTCTTTTGCAATAGGCAGAGGCTCGATCAAGAGAGAACAATGAGGTTTTTTCTGTTGATACTTAGACCTATTTGGAAGATTAGACGAAACTATGAAACATCAACAAGTACCTGATGTTTTGAAGTTTCTGCTCTTTGTCACTATTAACCTGACTATTATTTGGAGATTTCTGTTTGTCTTTCTCGCTAGAAGTCATTATCAAGACTTCATGTTTTAAATATGAGAAGATACTACCTTTTCGAGCTATGATTTGGAGAACATGAAGTGGCAATTTGATATCCCGCGCTGGAGTTCATGAAAGGATTTGCTTTGTCACTTTGACATGGCTTTTGTTTGATGAAGCGCTCCAGGGATTCCAAAAAATCTTGATCATCCTGTAGTTCAATTCAAAATTCATGAAAAATCTATGAATGTCGAACCCTTGTTGCCATTCCGTCTTCGTCACTCATCTCTTCGTCGGATTCGGCTCTCTCCGCAATCTGATTTATGAACTTTCGCATTCATAACAATTGGGAAAAAATACCTTCAACTCGTTCAAGGATTTAACTAGCGTTGAGGGTTTTGAAACAATTTCCACAGGTTTCAAACGTCGAAACTCTCGATCCAAAGTTTCAGACGCCAAAACATGTTGAATGTCGTAAGTTTTTCCTGAAAAACATTATCACAGTAATTGAGATGTATCTTACGACTCCGGATTTCATTGAGTCCCGTGATCCATAGGGGATGTTCGTCTAACTGAGCTTTAACGAAAGCAGATCTCTGAAAACAATTGGACGAACAAAATTTGTTCCTTTCTTTGTTAGCTTCGAAAATCTTAAGAAGTTTTATCATTTCCATTATGCAATGAAGAGCAAACCTTCTTTTCTCTTCTATCGATATAATAGGTTTGAGTTTGAATTGGAATGTTTTCATTGTCGCACAGCGGAAACCCACAAGTTTTAGCAATAGATCTCTCTTCCACTACATCGTCCCATGACAACCTGTCCAAGTAAGGTAACTGAAAGTAATTCAAGTATAAACTAGTAAGAACAACCTTCTTACATAGCTTAAAAGCTCTTCGTCAGAAACTTTCTCTGTCAACTTTACTATAGCATCATGAACTGATTTCCTTAGCTTTTTTTCTAGGAGCAAACGCTCCTGAACTTTAGCTATTTCTTCATTATCTGTAAAAGATCTTCCGTATAGCTTAGCAGAAACTATATACTTTGCTCTTTTACGATCTCCTCACTAAACTGGACCAATTTCGCTTGCTTATCAGACAACATCTGAAGTGAAAACAGGATAGAAGATTTATATACAATGGCAAATATCAAGTGAATTCGAAAACGGACACATGAAGAAAGAGAAAACACACAAAAAATATATTCAATTTCTCCAAGAGATCGTATCAGCTCACAACTCTTGTGAATTATCACAACGACGAATCAAAAAAAAATCAAAAAAGTCAATGTTTCTTATATACATTATGTTTGATTATGGTCATGAAAAGTGACTCCTAGGTGTGGATTTTCGGTACAGAAGTAGGTAACTTATTAGAGAGGAAATCTTAAAACCTAATTATGAACAGCATGAGTTCCCGTATCGAATTGAAATTGTTGGTAGATCCTTATTAACTTCCAGAACAAAACTCAACCAGGTTTTTAATACGGTCAGAACACGTAAGCGGTTTTTCAGATACGGTACTGTGGCTATTTGTTGTAGGAAGGACTCCTGAGCGATTTTTCATCAAGGCTTCATACGTAGTTGTTGTCGAAGATATCTAAATAGACAAAAACTGGGATAAAAAAAAGTTGATTTGAAACCTGGTAGCACTGCTGCAGAAATAGCATTGACAGAGCGAACGCATGGAATATGGACAAAATTATGGCTAATATCAGAAGGCATTCGGATTCCAGGAAGTAATCTAAACAGACAACAATCAACATAAACAAGAGACACGTTTCTATTCGCGCGCATTTTTCACGTGAGTTTCACGTATTTTGAACTTTATTTATGTTGGATAGCGCGCGCAGAACGGTTGAGCTCAGCTGATCAAATTAAATAAAGGGTTTGCTAAACAAAACTATTGTCAAATTTTTACCGAAGCCTTCATATCGGATGATTGTTGTAGAATAGTTTATACTGGCTCCACAAAATATTGCCGCTGATACTCCAACACAGAATGCAAAAACTATGAAAGGTCTCAAGTTTTTCTTAGTTATGCACTGATGCAGCCATGGGCAGTGATGATCGAAATTCTTGACGCATCTTAAATGTTACTTTTGCTAATTTCAAACTAGAAATCAAAAACCTGTCGCAAACAGAGCAATGTTTTGATTTCGCTGGTTTGTCAACCATGCAGAAAAAGCAGTAAGTGACTCTGGAACATAATGACTCTACGGACTCCACAAAAGCGGCTGCAGATTGATTTTTGGGCACGACTCCAGGATCGCCGAGAGATATTCTGAATTATATTATTCAAGTTGAACTAAAAATAAGATTATAACTTGATGAGCGTAATGAACAGTGCGACCAATAACAAAATGAAGGCAATTTGGAGCCACCACGTTGCATACCAATGAACTTTTGTTATCCTAAAAGGTCAATAAATGAAACAAAGAAAACTTCCAGGGCACAACCATAATATCAACATAAGTATTGGTTCGGAAACACAAATACCAATAGGTATAAGCGTGGCATCCGGCCCATGCATTTCAAAACGAAGTAACTTAAAGCATAGTATTAAAACACTGCCTAATAAAGCCGCCGCCAGCCCATAATGGAATGAATAGAATAAGAATGCTGTTAATAAAAATATAAGCCCTGAAAACCATAACTAAAGACCATCCCAAAAATTTGAGGTAGCCTACCTGGCAGAACAAACTCTACAGGTTTTCTCACAAATTTGAATGAATCGCAAAATCGTCTGGGTAATACGCCTTGTTGAATAGCAGTCTCTTCAAGTAACCCTGAAAAGGCTTATTTCCTCTGTTTTATTAGAGTTCTACCAACCAATGATTTTGTGATTGCGATTAGTTCTAGCTATATCTAAAGCAGTTTCTTGTTGTTTGTTTCGAACAGTCACGTCAGCTCCCGCTTTCAAAAGTTCACTGAAGGAGATTGTATAACCAACAGGATTAAAAAAAGTTTGAACCTGACGGCAACATAGTTTCTTTCCTGAGCAGCTAAATGGAGAGCAGTATTTCCCTTTAAATAAAACACGTTTTTTGGTTCCCTCTATTTCTCAAAACCTGAAGATCTTCTTTGATATTCACGTCAACATTTTTCCGAAGAATTAATCTGATAGGAAAGATCGAAAAGCATCGAAAAGCAGCCCACATAACAGGTGTTGTTCCTGAACAAGGGATTCAATAATATTTTGATTCCTCGAAAGGAAATACCGCTGTTATCTGTTAAACTGGCACAATCGAATTTTTCAAGTAAATAAGCAACCACATTGATATGTTGACCCTTAAAAACCATTTTGATTATAGACAAATAAAATGAAAGATACCTGCACAGCTAAATGAATTGGAGTATATCCCTGAGTATCACGTATATTACAAACAGCTCCAGACTATATTAGATTATGAGGAGCATGAGCACATAGCAATAATCTCACCTTCACCAGCACAGCACAGGCTCCCAAACTCCCAACTCGAACAGCCCAGTGTAGAGGGGTTGATTTTAAAACACCACCAATTACATTTGGATCAGCACCCTCTTTCAGTAATCTTAAGTCAAATGTAACATAAACCATATATGATAATGTACCTCTGACATATAGGGACGCGGTTATTGATCGCAGCCCAGTGTAGAAGGGAACAATCATCAGGATCCTTCTCGTTCACATCTAGTCCAGCCTAAGAGTGAGTAGAAAATGATAATTATTAGAGGTATAACCTGTAACAGCTCCTCCAAAGAATCTAGAGTACCTGTTTGACAAGCTGACACGGCTCGGCCGATATCCATAAATCTCCTAATTCGAGATCTGTTGTGAATTGAAAAATGTGAAAGCTTATAATTAGCTTGAGATATGATAGGACTTCACCACGTTGTGCTATGAAGGGAAAACGAAATATAAAAATTTATTATCCAAATACGGACTGTGAAAAATCCCTAATCATTATCTATCTAGTTTACTATGCAAACCGGCAAAAAAGAATAGCTTGAATCTCTACTTACGAAGAGAGTGAGAGAGAAAAATTTACTATATTACACACTACATATTAAGAAATAACAAAATTGACTTGCATGAAGTTAAACTGTACTATGAACGTCCTGGCGTCGACGTTGGTTTATAACGAAAACAACACAAAAGTAGGGTTTGTCGCAGATCGTAATCTAATAAGAGCGGATCTTAGGTGGAACCCAGTCGGTTTCGTTCTTATCCAAAGTAGTGTCAATTACTGGGCGATATTTAAGAGTAACAGCTCCAGTCTCAACATTGGAGTTGATAATAGAATGCTTACGCCAGTGATCCTTGAAAATATTATCAATCTATGAACAATTTTGTTTTCCTACCTCTTTCTTAGTTTGTCCCTCAATTGGTTTGCTGTAATCGAACTCATCAATACGGTCTGGGAAGTCATCACGAGCATGAGCTCCACGAGATTCCTATAATAAACATTGAATAACTCTGATAAATTCGTCAGCCTCACTTTTCTGTTTTCAGCAGCGACCATGGTCTGAGAAGCGTTGATCAAAAGATTTTGAAGCTCCAAAGTTTCAATCAAATCACTGTTCCACACAAGTCCCTGTAATGATAATTTGAAAAAGGATTACTGACTGTCAAGGTAACCTTATCAACGACACGGAGATTCTTCTGTTGCTTGTAAATATCAGAAATCTTCTCAACACCAGCCTTGAGAATATCTCCTCTTCTGAAAACTGCAGCATGCTTTTGCATAGTTTTTTGCATGTCAAGACGGAGTTCAGCAGTGAGGATATCTCCCTGGAACAGTAATATATGAAAAGGTTTGATGATGACGAAACCTTGTTTGTTCGGACGTCATCTAAGTTGGCAATGGAAGATTCTCCAGCGTTGCTTGGTAATTCTGGAACGGCATCTCCGGGCTTATTCTCATTCAAGATACTAAACGGAATAGGTTTTCAAAGAAAGATGAGAATAAAACGAACGAGATAGCGCATGAACGACCGAAAATAACAAGATCGAGGAGTGAATTTGCTCCAAGACGGTTAGCACCATGAACAGAGTGAGCAGCGCATTCTCCGGCAGCATAGAGACCAGGAACGACTTGGTCACCCTTTTCCTCGGTGTATTTCAAAACCTTGAACAAAAAATTAAAACTTGAAACAAACAGGCTCATACCTGTCCCTTATAGTTGGTAGGTACTCCTCCCATATTGTAATGAACAGTTGGAATAACAGGAATGGGTTCTTTGGTGACATCGACACCGGCGAAGATCATAGCAGTTTCCGAAATACCTTAAAATACTATCTTAAGAATAAAAACTTGATCGCATAAAAACCTGGAAGTCTAGCTTGAAGTTGTTCGGCAGGAAGATGGTGAAGTTGCAAATAGATGTGATCTTTTTCATTTCCAACACCACGTCCTTCCATAATTTCAAGAGTCATGGAACGAGAAACAACATCACGTGAGGCAAGATCCTTGGCTGTAGGAGCATATCTCTCCATGAAACGCTCTCCTTGTGAGTTAACAAGATATCCTCCTTCTCCTATATCGAATAGGTAATTGAAAATGCTTTCTCGTACAACAACCTCTTGATCCTTCAGTGATAAGACATCCTGAGCCATAAATACCAGTAGGATGGAATTGAACAAACTCCATATCAGAGTTGTTGATGCCAGCACGAGCGGTTAGAGCAGTTCCTGCACAGATAAGATCAGTCATTTCTGATTAAATTGCAACTAACCATCTCCAGTACAGGTGTGTGCAGATGTGCAAGAGAAGTAGGCGCGACCATATCCTCCAGTAGCAAGAACGGTGTTCTTTGAACGGAATCTGTGGATGCTACCATCTTCCAAGTTCAAAGCAACTACTCCAACACATTCACCCTGGGAAGATCTCAATAATTGATCATTTCTCAAAAGATACAAACCTTCTCCATGATCAAATCAAGAGCAAAGTACTCAACAAAATAGTTGCAATTATATTGAAGAGAAGCTCCATACAGAGTGTGGAGGAGGGAATGACCTGTACGATCAGCAACACAACAGGTTCTACAACATACAACCTATGAGATACTCTATCATGTGACTCACCTATGAGCCTGGCCACCTCGTCCAAAATCATTGGATTGACCTCCGAAGGCACGTTGATAAATTTTACCTTCAGGTGTTCTAGAGAATGGCATACCATAGTTTTCAAGCTCGATGACAGCTCGTTCAGCTTCTCTGGTCATGTAATGGATAGCGTCTTGATCTCCAAGCCAATCCGATCCCTATAGTGAATGGAAACATTATATATCATGGAAAAAAACAATACTTTAACAGTGTCGTAAAAATGCCATCTCCAATTGTCAGGATTCATGTTACCAAGAGCGGCATTAATACCTCCTTGAGCAGCAACGGTATGTGAACGAGTAGGGAAAAGCTTGGTAATAACGGCAGTTTTCATTCCACCTTCGGAAAGTCCCATGGCAGCACGAAGTCCGGCTCCTCCTTACATAGATTTGAATAATGCATAAAAATTAAAAACTACCTGCTCCGACAACAACAGCATCGTAGGAGTGGTCAACAACCTTGTACTCAGCAACATTTGATTGTTTGCTATCTTGGAGAGTAGCGGAAAGTCCCAGGCTCCTTCTTGGGATACATCTGTTAACCCGTCGGGCTGCTGATAACATGGTTAGGCTGAAAGTAATTATGTTAGCAAACTAAGAATAATAAAGAAAAAACAAAGTTTTATCATAGAGCAGGGGTCTACACAGGACTAGCGGTCGCAATAAATGCGCAAACACACAGCGTATGCGTCAGTCACGTGCGGTACTTTGTGTACAACACAAGCAGTCGGATAAGATACCAAAAGCTGATAACATGCTTGTTGCAATTTATATGTTGCTTTTTTTGGTTTACATTCTATCCTTAACAGAAATATATATTCATTTAAATGAAATCGTCACTTAGAAATAACGAAAACATGAAGAATGATTGAATCTGTGGTTTTGCTCATGTTCTATAATTAAGACTATTAAGATGATCCTTGTAATCGACAATTTAAGCAAAAATAATAACGCGTTAAAAATAATTTCAACGTTGGAAGCGACGCTTATAATGTACGTGCGATCAGCTGTTTTAACAATTATTGATATATTGACCACCCAATATTTCTCGAATGCAACCGCTCTGCCCCCGACCATGCAACTAAATGAAATGAGTTCGGGACAGACGTTGAACGCGTTTACACACTTGGTTCGAGCGTACAGAAATATCACGTGGAACTATCACATTTGAATTATTCATTACTTGGTTGTTTGAAGAATTATTTACAGTTAACGCTCGTCAATGTAGAAAGCGATGAGTTCATCAGAAGAACAATAAGTCATTTCTTACAACATACTATTAAGTTAAGGGTATATAATTGATCATATGCTGCAAAATTAAGAAATGATCCTCCAGCTTTACCCAAAGTCATCAAGGGTTTTCCTCCAATGTCTTTATCCTAAATGTGAGGGTTTCCTGGATCAGCATAGATGTTACAGTTAACCTTTGGATTAACGTCCGGTTGCATGGAAAGACGTAGTGTCGTTTCTACAAAGCCGATGGGACATCTTGTTTTACCTCTTAAGATGCATAAGTCATCCTCAGTCCACGGCAAGTCTTGTAAAACCCGATCGGATTCGAAAAGAAACAGCGAAATTGCTCAAACTGATCAAGTAAGTTGCAAACCATTGTTTCTCGGAATCAGGAGATCTTCAGAGTGTACAAGGCGAACCACAACTACAACGAGAACTGTCGAAATATAAGCCATCTTAGTTACAATAGTTAAAAAATACTTGAAAACTATAAAATAACTCTTGGCGTTAACTTTGACACAGCTGTTCAAATGGTTATGTTTTTCAGTAATCAAATATTTGAGTTTAATGCATCAGAGTTGTGAAAATTTATTCATCTGCTTGATTTTCGCAGATATATACTTCATTGTATTCATAGAGAATCAGTTTTGTCTTTGTCTGAAGTGTTCACGACTGTGTGTATCCTCGGATGAACGATGGAAGTGAATTGTGCTTGTTTTTTGATGATTTGGATGGAACTCGTGGGAGTCAGACTCAGAAGACCGGATTTTGTGGCCCTGAACGAAGTCTCTTCTTCCATGATTCTGTGCTTCACATCCAAACTGAAAATTGATAGTTCGGTAAGGAATCCCTAGAACAAACTAACCGTGAAAAGTAAAAGAAGAGAAAAGAAAATGGTAACAGCTCTCATTTTGGGAATGTTGAAGATGATGCAGAATCATTTTCTTAAATACAGATACTGATGAATGAAAATACATCACGTTAGTGAATAAGCAAACTTGCGACAAAGATGGAGACTAAAAAAAGAAATTCCGAACAATGGATGGGAAACGTCACGGAAATCACTATTGTACTTTTTTTCATTAAAACATTGGAGGCCTGAGAGGAACATATGAATCTTCAAGCAATTAAAGTAGAATTGCATACTACCGTAAGCTCCCCCCCCCCACCTTTAATCTATGAATATTTTAGGTACCAGCTTATGAGGGATAATAGTCATTGCGTATCTTTTATATGTGGCTGATAAACATATCATCAACCCTCAACTTACTATAAGATTTATACTAAGCGGATTGTTTATGATATGTGTCAGCTTAGTATTTTTGCCTGCCGTTCGACGTTCAGTACCGGATGTTTGAAATTTACCGTCTGTATGACAATGACAAAATGATTGATGATGGATTTGGAATACTTGTGAGCGTGATAGGAGAAGTATTTCAAATGAATATTTTGACACTAATAGTTTAGTAAGTTGATTGTAACTGTCGTGAGTTGGCTTAATTACTTTTCAATACACTTCAGTTGAATCAAGATCGGCTGTCTAAGCCAAGCAAGGATTTATCGAATACTGAAGCTAATGAATGGAACATTTTCATCACCTAATGCTAATATCACTTGTAATTCTGTTATCAGAGAACAGGAGTGATAGGAAGTAAAAGCCTTTTAAGAGCTCAGAAAATCAGTGTCTCCATTTCGTCTCTGAGAGTTCTGGTTCTTGAAATAATTTATATTCAACTCTGTTTTACTTCAGATGCTCATTGGGTGGTTTCTTCTATGCCTGATAGGCTTTTCATTTCATCCTAAGGTTTGTCATATCTTATTCTGCAATTAGTTTACTCTTTGAAGGGAACTGAAGCTGCTGACTGTCCAGCTGGTCAAGCGGGTACTGACTGTACAAGCTGTAAGGTTTTTCGAATTTAATTATTTAATAGAGTTACGCTCCCTGAGAAGCCTGTTATCTTCAATTAATTGCTTGATAATCCAGTTATCAGTCTAATCCCCTTTACATTTATTGATTGAATTCCTAACATATTCAGATGTTTGTAATAAGCGGTATGAGCCAAAATCTCATTACGGGTCTGCGAATTATGGAGATTTGGTAGCTTTGGCCACTAGGTAGAATTCATAAGTACTGGAAAATGAGTCGAATTTTTGATTACAGCTCAAACTGTCAGAAGTTCAGCTTCTACTTGGATGACTTCATGAGTGATATCTATGTTTGGGTGACCTACTCTGACACTGGAGCTAATCCTCAATTCGATGTATTCGGACCATCTGGTTGCGAATAAGATTTAATGACTTTGGCATAATTCTATCGATTTAGGAGAAGTCATTCAAGTATGTGAAGAAGCCTCAGCATCTGATAAACAACGTCTCAACAAGTATTGTAATGCAGATAAAATGCAAAAAGGACTTTACACAATCAAGGTTAAAGCCGATATTGAGGGGTTAGCGCTACTTCATCAATGGCCATGATAAACTTTTGCTTTTCAGCACTTGTTTGCTACGTGTTCATGGCCAAACAAATCTTGTAGTTGATGGTGGTTTTGTTAGTGATCCTCATGATGACCATGTACAATACTTCACAAAAGTTTTAGCTAACGAAGGAATTACAAAGTATCCAGAGGGGGTAGAGGAACAAATTAAAGTTTCAGTCATCAGTCGACATTTAGGGCGTTGCTTCTTACTTCGTGTTCAATGTGAACAACGAAGTATATCCAACTACACCATTGAGTGTTAACTTCTTCCGAGGCGATAACTTCGTTAGCTCTTCCAATTTGAAAGCTAGGTAATAATTCCTCCTCTGACCAACAAATGAGTGGAAATACAGATATGGGTGTGGCTTTCCTCACATAACGGAAAAAACCTTCACTTGTACAGATAATGAACTTCCTTACTATGCTCAAATTAACGGTTTGTTTCCGGATAAATTAATGGAATTATTCTAAAGGATTAAGGAATTGATAACGATGGAGATACTTGGTCAAGAATTTATAGTTTCAGTTGTGAATCACCAATTACCATTCAGCCAACAGGTACACACCCAATTAAGTCGATAACGTTCTTATCTCTGGTAATCCTTTTCCAGCTTCAACAACTGCTTCCGTAATAACTGAATGTTTCAATAATGGAACCTTAGTCAATAATGTAACTCATTTGGCGATTGTTCTTATAGACAATACTCTTAGAAATGTGTTTGTACAAAATTCTTTGATGGTGAAAACTGTGAATGGCCTGTTTGTTTCAACGGAGGAACCGTGAACCAAGCTACTGAACAATGTTTTTGCGACATTGGTTTCTCTGGGGATCACTGCCAGAATGGTGACATACCCTCGCAAAATTGTTCTTATACCTCTCATTCTAGTAAGATGTTCAACACTCTCAAATGACGTTTTCGACGACAACTCTCGGGCTTTCGCCATTGTCATTCGGGCAGCCTTGAGCATGTCTCAACAGCTCCCTCAGGTAACACATCTGGATCTGTCACATCTCCACACATTCCTCAGATAATCAAATCTACCAAAGCTCTTCTGAATGAATATGAAATCGAATATCCCAACTACTACAGCACTTATGTTCTCACCATCGTAGCTCAACAAGGTTTAAAATTTTTATACAAAAGAAATATAACATCTGCTTTACCTAGCTGTCAATTCGTCGGTCACATATCAAAGCGCAGATAGTTTCTTAGATGCTCTTAATAGCATAGAGTTGACCATTGATGATCAAGTTTGTGATGACGCCTTGTTTGCTGGAATCCAAGAAACTCTAGATAATCCTTCTTTTTCCAAGTATCAGGTGAAACTTAAATTTGTCATCGTGTTATTTACTATTCATGTTTGAGAACTCTCCCGTTTTCGTATTTTCTGACGGAACTTCAAGTGATGACCTTCCTACCCAAGAATATGTCTTGCAGCAAGCCAGTGACACTCGTGCTCAGGTATTAAGATGTCTGGAAGTTTTTCCTAATTAGGAGTTAAGATTTTCTTCATTTTAACTGATTCCTCATCGGCAAGATGCAATGTTCATATTTCCGACAACCAGTACCTAAGCATGTTCTCATTAGCTGGTTTCACTCAAGGCTTACTAGTGAAATCGGATCTGAGTCAACTAGATGATGTATTTCACGAATGAACCTAGATTTATGTATGGTTTTTTTTGCAGACTTACATGCAGATAGCTCGATCCTTATATAGGTCAGCTTCTATAACTTCTAATGACCTCCCCAACTGTGAGCATTTACCTGCGGTTGATTCCTTCACCGTCGACTCAAGTGTGAACCAGTTCTACATCAGTGCAACAGGAAGTACTCTCAGCTTTCTGAGTAGAGATAAATCAACTTTTTGTAGTGAACTTGGCTATCACTGTTCAATTACCTAACAAAAAGACGCAACAACCACAGCCAGCATACCGCAGTGGAAATTTCTATATCTGGTCATTTGAGAACCCTACAGCAGGAACGTATTCGGTAGCGATTTGGGAGTCATTTCGAAAACTTACTAGTTGGTTACAGCTGAATATGACAAGTAATTTTGATGATCTGTCGGAGTGTTCGTACAGAGTGTACACACCTTCATCAAAGTATTCTTTCTACTTTGCCTCAACCGATGAGATGAATAACGACCGTTATTCAAGAGAGCCTATTGTAGGTGAGTACGAAAACGAGAAAACCTCCGTGAGTACGTGAAAACGAGAAAACGTCCGTGAGTACCTGAAAACGAGAAAACGTCCGTGAGTACGTGGAGACCGTGAGTTCACGCAATTTATTTTTGTTGTGCGTTTCCGTACAACTGGTTGATCATAGCTCAAACAAATCTATCAGGTTATTAAACCAATTTTTCAGGCAAAGATTCTCATGTTGTTGGAAAGCTTACCAACTTTTGGCTTCCTGATTTTACAGGTGTCCAAACAAAAGTTGATTTGTGGTACAATGGTCAGCTATTATGTTAATGAATCGTTATTGAACAAAAGAATTCTAGATAGGGATGGTAATCGTGTAAGTTTGTATAACTCGGACGGACTGTACCGAGATGAATGTATTTATAATCTCTATTATGGCTCGTTCAATTGTCAGAATAATTTCCAATACTTCAACATGAAGGTATGTACTACTGATAGATCACCTTAATTATCGTCTCTCATAGACAACAATCTACGACTCCGAAGGATCTCAAATTCAAAGATCAGTCACCGGTTATTGCACAACTGGTAGGAGACGAAATAATATTCAGGCGGATATTCTAATTTTAGCGTTACCACCGCCACCCGGAGAGCAATGTTTAAATGGAGGTGTAACTTCAAATGGTACCTGCGTGTGTCCTTCACATTTCAGTGGAAGTAAATGTCAAAGTGTAAAGTCCTTCCATACTTATCATCCTTATGTGCCTTTCTTCAGGTTTTATGCGAAAATCAGGGTACTCAAGTTTCTGGTAGCTGTGTATGTGCTCCTGGATTCTCCGGACAGTTCTGCGAATTAGGTAATGGAATGCTCCACCATTTACATTCCATTTTAATTTCAGTGGCTTGCACAACATATAACGAATATGTTCATCCAAGTGATGATCACAGATCTCTAACTCTCCTGTTGCACGACTCTCTGACCACTCGTGCCGCGTTAAGAACTATAAATGAAGCTGCTGTTCGTGTTGTTCACGACATCCAATTACAATACTCTAAATGGTTTGATTATTATCAGCTGATGCGATTCAACAGTACAGGTTAGTTCCAGGTTAACAATCTCAAAAATCTGAAACTCTGTTTATAGATTATAGACTACAGTATGATGGAAGTGATCCTCAAAGTTTCTTGCAAGCTTTGGATTCTATGTATGAGTACAATCTACAACACTCAGATGTTTGGTTGATTTTCCTTTCTCCAAGTTGCAAATGTATTTCTAGATATCATGCTCTGATTTGGATACGTATGGAGCTCTTTCAACTATTTTGGAACATGAGCATGTAGCTTGGGGTGGAATAGTATATGTCTTCGTATACGGAATGACGAAAACCAATATGGACTACTACGAAAAAATCATGACTCATGTGGAAAGAAACAAAATACAAGTGAAAACTATATAGTAAAGTTGATAATAATCATAGTTTTATAGATAAATGTGGTACAACTATCACTTATGCCTTGTGGAAAAGAATACGAAAATGACGGATTATTATCTTTAGCCCAAGTAACCGGTGGTACATACTATGTATCTTCTCAAATGAATGCTGGAAAAGTTTGTGATTTTAGTTTATTCTTTTACATATCTGATTCAGGTGTTTTCATCCTTGAACACTAATTATGGATCAAGCTTGGTGTATGAAAGACAAGTTGACGCTTGCTCTGATGCCCATTTCTTCATTCCCATTGATTCTGCAACTCAATCGTTCACAGTTTATGTACAAGGAGAGCTTGCGTCGCCTATTGTATATAATAATCCAAACGGTACCTCGACTTATCCGTTCTTCTGTTAACGTTTTTTCAGGCGATGTTATTACTGATTTGTATGTGAATACTATCTGGAGTGACGTTGTGACAGACACTCAAATGGACCAAATTATTAAAAGTAATATAAAAGCGATGTTCATATATTAAGGCAATTCCAGAATGTGATGATGGTTGGATATACTCAGATGGACATTGCTGGAAGATTGGTTACAAGTTGGATACTTGGCAGAATGCTAAACAAGATTGTGCTGCTAATGGCGCCAATTTAGCTACCATTTATAACAGCGGTGAACAAAACTTTGTGAACAGTTAAGACGAAACCTAATTGAAGTTCATAATAAGTTTTGTTCAGAGATGTCTAAAGGTGTTTCGTTCTGGATAGGATTGAATAATCAGCAGAATATCGACGAATGGGATTGGGACGTTTCTAATAACATAACGTTAACAGTCAGTGTCAACTTACATATGGTTCAGAAGTTTTTTAATTCAGCTGGCTGAAACTAAGTACACTAACTGGGGTACTGGTCAACCAGTGAAGGAAGTAACAGAGCGATGTGTCATTGATTATAATACAAACGATGAGAACGGATGGGCCGTAGGAAGTTGCGACGAGCGCCATTTCTATTTCTGCTCAAAAGGACATTGTTAGCTTTCCCTAATTTCTTTTTAATTTGACTATTTCTAGATGATAACGAATTTGAACCTTCGGATACAGAGAGGAGTAAGCTTATTAACAGTACCAGCAATAGTAGAGTTTTTTCAATGTTTTAGACCAGTTGTTGAATGGACTTTGGCAAGTTACAGTTAACGCTACTGGTAGCTGTTCTGTTTCGGTCAGAGCTCAATCTAACATTCAAGTGAGTTTCTCTAGGTTTTTTTGCTGAAACAGAAATTTTAGCTGATTACTTCTTTCACAACTGATATTCATAGCGACTTCGGTGATGCAGAACCTATAGCTGAGACTAGTAATAGCTTGTTTTACTCATAAAAAGCTTCGTTTGATTTTTAGAAAACAACAGAATTATTTCCTTAGTCACTGGTATCACCAATGTAAAGCCTAAATCTATAGAATATGCCCATGTTTATGACGAAAATGGAGCTCTCGTTCAAGTTGAAGTATTATTATTCGTTAGTCAAGACATTTTATAACATTTCATTATAGACCATCCAAATGAGATCAGATTGTCGTTTCTCCTTCATATCTACTCCATTCCAATGTATTGGTTCAACATTCCAAATGTTTGTATCTGGTTGTTTTGATTCTATTTATGGTTTTTTAACTCAAAGCTTTAGGTACTGATGATTCTGGATCTTTATTCCAACGTATCGTTCCTGTCACTTGCTCAGGAGGTGTTGACTCTCATTCCTGTGAAAATGGAGCGGTGTTCAATGATGTAAGTGAGATGTAAATAGGATGTGAACGCTGTTTTCTTAAGGGATCTTGTATTTGTCCTCCTGGATATACAGGTTCAAATTGTGAAATGGCTATTTGCGAGAACGGCTTTCCAAATGCTGAGTTAGGGTCCTGCGAGTGCTTGGATGGTTGGACCGGAGGATTCTGTGATACTCGTAGGGTATTGATAATTTCTACTTAGGAATTTTTTTAAGCCGTCTGCTCGACTAGTAGAGGCGGAACCATTTTGACCGAAAATGGAAAAACATTCGTTCTTGCTGTCGATGCTGTTTCAAGTGGAAATATGGTTTCCGTGCTGAACGATTTTGAAACAACCCTTTCATCGGTCCTGAAAAAAGTTGAAGTAATGCGTTTATTCTTTTAGTTTATTCATATGTTTATTTAGTTCTCATATCCCAGATGGTTCGAAAACTTTGTTGGAGTAGTTTTCTATGATTCTAAAAGTTCTGAATCGGGAATCCCCTCTGTTTCTTCAGTTGTCCGTGCCAACAATTATTCTGACTTTACTGCTTCAATGACTGTATGATGCCAACTTTAGAGGAAATTGATTTTTTTCTTCAGAAGCTGATAAAATCACAAAAGTACTCATCTGAAAGTAGTACTCGTTCCATTTACACAGCTTTGAACGTTCTTCTGGCAGAAAAGACTATTTCTCCAAGTTCCCCAGTTTTCGTTATCACCTCTAGTCAGTACTCTTCTACTAATCGTTTTCGCTAGTTTTTTCGTTTTAGGTGGAGCAGACGACATAATTACCTCCAATTTATTATATCAAACTATTGCTGCGAAACATCCATCGGTGACAAAATAATTCACCTCATTTGAACTAATTTTTTTTCAGATTTTTGAGATTTTCATTGGAGACACTGGTGCACCTGGAGGAGGGTCTTATGCTGATAATGGTGTACAAGAACTTTTCGAAACTGCTCACCAAACAGGAGGAGCTGTTTATCAGGTTCGTATCACTTCATTCCCAAAGACATTATGCTATTAGACACCTGCGGAATCGTTGGAGAAGTTCTGGGACACACAATTAAACACTTTATATGGATCTTATTATTTGTCTACGCATCATATAAGGTTTAGAAGATGCTTGATCGGTACTAGTAGTTATTTTCAGTGACTGTATCAACCATGTCGAATATATACAAATCGGAGTAAATTCATCTGAGCTAGTGGTAGATATTTATGGAGCAGAGCCTTCAATCTTCGCAACCGATCCAGATGGTTTCGTTACTAGTTACCAACATTTATAACTTGATTTTAAGGTCAGGAACATCAACTTATAACAACATTCACTTCGAAAACGAACATCCTTGCTCATTTTGCTGATCCTCTGACTAAGCCAGGAGTGTGGGCTATAACATTAAATTCTAATAATGGTAATCAAAATACATGCATGGTTTGTTAAAAAGTAATCACTGGTCACTTTTCTTGTTTTTTGTAGCTCAACGTTCGCTCTCAATCTAATCAGATGAATAGCTTGCTCACTTATGCCTCTTTCACACAAGATGTGGGCGAAAACGGAGTCCTCCAAGATGGAACGTCAGTACCATACCCGATTGCCTCTGGTATTCATTTTCTTCGTTCACTCGCTTACTTCTTACTGCAGGTATTAAAAATGCTGTTGTTGCTGCTGTTACGTCTGGGGCATTGTTGAGTTATGCTCAAGCTCTTGATATTGAAGATAGAATTTTGTTATGGGCATCTCCTATGATTCCTCGTAAGAATTGCGATTTCTCCTTTATCACAACTGAGTAGGTTCCCCTAGAAGAAATCTTCTCATAATACCCCCTTTGAAGCTCATACATTTGTGATCGCCCAACGTTCATTTTGGCTATTAATGGTTTTGATGTTGCTGGTCATCCTTTCCGTCGCCTTTTCACTTATCACTGCCAGGGACCTCTCCCACAACCTGCATCAGGTATTTCTACAGAATGGATACGTCATCTTCGATTTAGTTACACCATCATTGGCTCCTCCTGTAACCACACAACAAACAACGACTTCTGGAATCGTTTGTCATACTTCACAACCGAAAGCGGATCTCATTATAGCTTTTGACTCTTCGAATACTGTACCACACAAAACATATAATAAGGTGGGAACCTGTGATCATATCAGTCTTAAACTCGTTCTTTTCTCTATCCTCTTTTTATATGGGAGAAAGTGAAGCAGTGTGCAAAACATGAAACTATGCTTTCAGATTATCGCCTTATTCAGAGGATTGAGTGATTCATTCATAGTAGGTCAACATAACGTGCGAATCGATGCAGGAACTTATGATGCCTTGGCCTCATTTGACGGTCGAGATAACTTTTGAAACAGTTTGATTGGATTTTTTCAGACAATTCTTTGTTGTCAATAAACAATACTGACGACTATATGGCTCGGTTAGATGAGTTGAAGAGGTTTGGATATACAGGAAGTAATGGAAACAATATAAATGAGTAATTTTGAAAAAAAAAAAATTCGCTATTGCCGCCTTTTCAGCGTACTGGAATACGTGAAAAGCTTGACAGATCAGTTCAGAGCAGTTCGTAAAGTGAGAGAAAATTAATATTCTGCTCTATGAAGGTTTTCTAGATCGTTATCTTTGTCTCCAGCTTAGGTTGGGATAAAGGAAACACTCGTGAAGGAGTAGAAGTTGGATACATGGATCCCAAGGACAATATCGCTGCTCTCAAGGAAAACGGGGTAGAATTCATACCAATAGCTTGGGGAGATTCAGCTGATATAACTCAATTGAATGCTTTCTCAGATAAATGTTTGCAGGTAATATTCACATTCTAATTGAAGATGTGGAAGTTTCTATTTCAGAAAGCGAACACTGTTGATGATATATCTTCTGCGATCAACTTCATTTCTCAATCCTTATGTAGTACTGAACCGCAATGTTAATACCTTAATAAAATAAAACTTTTGAAACTTAGACGAACAGAACGGTTGTATCATAGTGAGAGAAATCACAATTGATCACAGTGTAAAGAATCCGCATGCATCGTGATCCCTTAAGACCGGATTGATTTCACTTCTTTTTTTTAACTTTCCTTTTTTTTACTCATTTGGACACACTTGTTTCAGTTTGGAAGACTTTATTTTAAACGAAAAGACATAATAAAAACAAGTAAATTACATCGTGAGTTGATTAGTATATAAGCTTGAGCGCCTGCCATTGGAACCATCGTCTGCCTTTGGCGAACATTTCAGAAGATGAATTCACTACTTGTGGGAGTTACTGTTGTGAGTGGAGCGGCTCTAGCAATCTTTTTACTTGCTTCTGCCAATATCGCCTATGACTTAAGTCAATTCCACGAAACTATCAAGCAGGATATGGTTCAGTTTGAGGTAAATCATATACTAATTTTCTTGCATTATCATTTTCTCAGGAGTATTCCGGTAGCGCTTGGAATAAAATTGTTCACAATGTTCCACGACCCGGATCAAATGGATTCAATATTATCTTCCGAAGAGGAAAAAGACAGTATGATAGTGCTACTGAAGCAACTGGCGCTTCATCTTCAGGATGCGGATGTGGAAAGTAGGAGTTGCTTTCAAGATCTTTCTTTATACTTCTTTCCCAGCTGCGCCGAACGTGCTAATAACTGCCCTGCTGGCCCACCAGGTCCTCCAGGACAACCAGGATCTGACGGATTTCCCGGACAGCCAGGAGAGCCAGGACAAGACGGAAAAACAAAAGTTGACTATCCAGGAAGCCCAGGACATTGTGTGGTTTGTCCAGTCGGAGCACCAGGACCAGCCGGAAGAGCCGGTACTAACGGAGCACCAGGACCACGAGGACAACCAGGACAACGCGGAGCACCAGGACAAAATGGTCAGGCTGGGCCACAAGGAGAGGTAGGAAGTTCTTCTCATATATTGTAACTCAACTATTTTTTTTAAGCAAGGAGATGCTGGAACTCCCGGAACTGATGGAACTCCAGGAGCACCAGGATCACCAGGAAAGGACGGCGTTCGTGGACAAGGACGACCAGGAGCCCCAGGAAATCAAGGACCACAAGGACCATCTGGTCAACCAGGAAGAGACGGAGTTCCAGGACAAGATGGTTATGAAGGACCAGAGGGACCAGCGGGTCAGGACGGAGCACCAGGAGACAACGGAGCTGTTGGAGAACCTGGCCAACCAGGCTTACAAGGAGTTCCAGGAGCCGATGCTGCTTATTGTCCTTGTCCTGAGCGCTCTAATGTTCAGTCGAACTACTCTCCAGCTCCTCAGCCAGACGGATATTCTTCAGTTACAGAAGCTCCAGAGGGAGAAGTTCAAGGATACAAAAGACGAGCTGTATTCAAACGTAGACGTGTTCACGCTCATGCTAACTAAAATATAAAGAATGAAGATATTATCAGCCACTTATTATTTTTTATGTCATCTTACGCATACAAACCTGATCTGAACATTCAAATCGAAACTATCAAAACTGGTCGAGATTCAATATTTTTTTAACATTTTGTAAAAATCGGTTCATTAACCACTCAGAACCCAGAAATAAGATGATAAAGACATCAGAGTGGTCGAGCAGATTAGGTTTGGGTTGGCATTCGTCCAATTTCGGTCCATTTCTAATCTCGAATAGAGCAGGAATCATGCAAGTAGCTGCAGAGAGAGCAGTTTTTGCAAACTGATGTGTCTACACTCATGCTTATTCAAATACAATGAATAAACATATTATCAGTTTTTTCCTCATTGATTTGTTCGAAAACATTGAGAAGATCCTTGTCTTTCACAAGGCCTTAACCATTCATACTTGTTTCAGCAACATAGGAAAGCAGTTGAGAAGCATAGTTAGTATAAGAATCCGACTTTGCCGCGAAAAAGTTTAACGTGAAAATTTCAATTAAATGTGTACTGAGAATACACGTAAATGTATGTTTCAAGCTAAGCGTCAAGTGGATGATAGACAAGTTTTCTCCGTCAACAGCCAGATGGATTAGAAAGATGACAAGATTTTGGTTAAGCAAAAATTAAAGTTAACTATTTTCAAGAAAAGATAAGAAAGAAGAAAACATAACCGTCGTCAATAACTGAGTTGATACTTTCTCTCCGATCATTTATCTTCAGATGTTTCTTATCCTCTTCTTCCGTGTCAGATCCTCTTCAGTCTTCACATTGCTCCACTTTCTCTCTTCGAATTGTTTGTTCATCTCAATATACATAATAAAATATTGTTAAGAATTTCCTTTCAATTTTTTATTTCATAAATTTAACTAAAAGCTCAAATTCTCATATCGCCACTTTCCCTGCTAACTTAGAGTTAAGAGAGATTTAAGAAAAAAATTTTTGTCCGTGTTGTGAGATGTTTGTTCTCATGTCCTCAACATTTTCCTCTCATCCCGTTATCCGTGTCCACAGTTCAATCTGTACAGTTCAATCAGAAGTAACTTCTCCGTCTAACTGTATCTCTCACTCTCTAACTCTGGAATATCTTAAAACTTCTTTTATTTTATTTTGAGTTTCATACATATTTTATAATCATTCCCAAACCATAAAATTGATTTTCACATTTACAGATATACAGCATCAAGCTGAACGATACGACGACAAAGAGCTCCAGAGCTTCAACGTCATGTTTTATTATAAAAATATTTTTATATTGATCTCATTATATACTTCTCTTGTAAAATCAATAGGTTAGTTTATTTTTAAAAAAATGGAAGATTCTGTTTGTTTTTCATCAGATTCAAACGCTAGACAGAATGCCAGTGAACGAGATCTTATGGAACATGTAATGAAGGATTATAGCCCCCATATAAGGCCTGTTAGAAACTATTATCAAGTTATAAATGTTACTGTTCAGCCTCAAATATATAGTTTAGTCGATGTGGTATTTCTTGAGATTTATCTCTTCTTAACCGAGTTTCTTGTTTTCAGGATGAAATACAGGAACAGATCAAATTGCTCATCTGGTTTCCACAGGTATAATGAGCTTCTTTACTGTAGTATACACCATCCACAGAGTTGGACTGATGAATTTCTTACTTGGGACCCCGAGGATTGGGGAGGAATCGAAAAGATGAATTTACCTATTTCTCAAATCTGGCTTCCTGATGGCTATATATTCAACACGTATGACTTTCTTGTTTACCGTTTCGCATGTTTCCATTCAGGGTTGATACAACTGACCCACTTACTCAACATAATGCTCGAGTTCGCTACGATGGTAACGTAGAAGTTGATTTTAATAAAGTAAAACGAACTTGAAAGCATTATCTAAAACTTGAATTTCAGTTAGTTGTTGTAACTTGCCCTATGTCTGTTCTCGATTTCCCTTTTGATAATCAAGTTTGTAATCTTCAATTTGGGTCTTGGAGCTATCAGACTCATCAACTCAACTTCATAGTCAAGACAACATTCGTACCGAAAAATGCTGTAAGTTGAAGAAGTTGATGTGAAGAAAAAACTTTTTTGTTCAGCAAAACTCTGAATGGGATATCATCTCATTTGACGGAGAGAAGAAGAAAACGCAGTACGAAAACACAGAAGGTGGAATGTATGAATATGAAGAAATTTTCTATTATTTGGTAAAGAGAGAATACAATATATAGAAATAACTCTGATTGCAGAAGTTAAAGAGAAAGCCTCTCTACTACGTCATTGTTATAATCGTTCCTTCGTTTCTTATCGTCACTGTCTCATGCATCGGAATATTCACTCCTCATGGTGTTCAAGGAGATCGAGAAGAAAAGGTTTCAATCTAGATTAGTTATGAACATCAAACATCCCTATTATTCCAGGTTTCGCTAGGCTTGACAACCATGTTGACCATGTCCGTCATTCTTGACATGGTGACAAGTCAAATGCCGAAAAGTAGTGAAGGAGTTCCGTTATTAGGTAATCATATGCAATATTCCAAAGTTTCATCCAACGTTCTCTTAAGGTCGATATGTTTTAATAGAATTTGTTATATCAATAGCAGCTGTACTAGTTTCCATTTTAATAATCTTTTTACACGAAAGAACGGGATACATGAGAACTCCACCTCCAAGATGGCTTCGGAGGTTCTTCAACATCGACGATTATCACTTAGATGTTCGTTCTTCTTTGTTTTCTTTCGTATTCACTTTGCAATTAGGTTGAAGAGCACATTCAAGCTAAAACCTGTGAAACTGTGGAAGAAATCCGGAATTGCATTTCAATGCTTCGCACTTTCATAGAGGATCAGGTATGAATGAAGTCCATGCATTAACACAAAACTGATAATTGAAGGAAACAACGGAGGAGATTCGAATAATCTGGCAAAGAGTTTTCTCATGGGCCGACTTGTTGTCAATGGTCTTTTTCGTAATCGTGAACTTCATCGTCACTTACACAACTTTCATGAACTACACACTTGAATAAAAAATTTAATAGAAATCCATAAAATCATTTTTGATGAGGGGAAAGTTGATAACCGTAATTATGAAGAAGACTTTTTCGTGTTGTAATTGGCCATTCATATGAATTCCATCGAATGTAAAGAAGCTAAAGCTAATCGTTTCTCTTCGGCTGTCACTGGTGAAATCTTCGAGGAGCCTGTGTCGAAAGCTGATAACCATGAAGCCTAGACAAGAGAGATTAATATTTTGTATTTACACATATACGCATACCTTAGCTTTCTTATCCGGACAGGTAATAAGGATTTGACGACTATTACAAACCAGTTTCAAAGAATTCTTTACTGAGCAATTGAACGTGGAATCTAAGAAGTCTTATTGCAATACAAAGAGTAGCTACTCATTACCTTTGCCATCCTTACAATCCACGAGGTTCACGAGATTGAGAGACAATCTATCTTTGAAAATGAAACAATTCTTCTTCAAAGGATCTTTCTTACAGAAAACGATCGACTGGTCAAATAAGAACATAATTAAATCCTACAACAAGATACAATTGATAATCGAGTGAGATGCAGTGGAAACGTACTTTGGCATACTGTTGATGCCCGTTTGCTACAACTCTGATATGGACTTCACCACTTCTAAGCATAGCTGAATTATTCTCTAAGAGGTCGGGTCCCTAGAAAGAATGTAGTTCAAGTATGAGTGATGATAAGAATATTTACCCTCCATCCGTGAACATTCCTCTGCCATCTAGCGAGTTCTTGCAAAGTTTCAACTCTCCTTTTTCTATCATTTATACTCGCGGTCACATCCCTCATACACTTCTCTGCAGCTTCTAGTGCGGCAGCATCTTCATGCCAAACAGGCGTTGCCTGAAAGAAAGAATAGAGAAAAACTCATGAGGGCTTCGTACTTTTAATAGTTCAGCCAGCTGGAGAGGATAACGACAGATCCTCTGTACAGGAGTTAACAAGAAGCCTTCCAGAGACAAGTTGGGCATGCCTCTGAGTAGGCGGCAAGCTTCAAAGAACTGTCTGTATATAGACTGCCGGCTTAGTTGAGCCAATTCTGCACAGGAAACTGGCCGGTTATTGCAATACTCCGAATAGATCGAAAAAGCATGTTTCTATAAACAATAAGGTTTTTTGATACCATAAAAGGGAAAAAACAGACATTTCGTAGAAAAGCCGCGCCAATGTTTGAGTTCTCGGGAGTTGATTGGTCTAAAGCCATCTCAAGATCTCGCAGTAACTTGGAGTGAACAACATATATGGAATGTATGTTTCCAAATATGTTCCGGATTCGATTAGCATTGAACAACTCTGGACGCCTTCTGGTTTGTTCCATGAATCCTTGAACAATATCTTCTAACAGCCTCACATAATCCCTTTCTGTGTGTAGAAGCTCCTCTACAACTTTTCCTCGTCTTTTACGCAAATGAGGATCCCATTCAGATGGCGTACAGCTTGATGTGGGTCGGGAATTTGTTGATAAAATCCGAACATGACTGGATGGGAACCATCCTTGACTATCACGACATGAGCCATACCATAAACCAGATTGAGAAGAAGTATCAATGACTGAATGTGAACGGTTTTGGAAGATTTCAACTCTCTTTTTTACCGGTTATTACGTCCCCAGATGCAAACGGTAATTCGTCTGGCATCAGAGCTACATGATCCCATGAAGCTTCAGCTAGAACTATCTGTAAATTATGAGTTCATTGTTAAGTTATGCAGCTTTCTAATTACCCCACTATCACCACTTGAAGTGCTTCCGCTCCGACTTGCGATGGAACTCGAAGTTGATTGAAGAGAACAACGACATCCTCGTTGCCATGATGATTCTTCACAATCTACACGAGAGATATGGGATGATGACGGCGAATCTGAAAGTTTTTTTTGTAAAATAAAGTTGTTTGAACAACCGCTCTCAATCTAACAAAAACAATCAAATGAAGTGTAATGAAGGTATGCTAATGAGATTACAAAACATCTATTTTATATGTTTTATGGACTCAATCTAACGAGGCAATTACCGTATTCTAGATCAGATTCTTGAGAAGAATTTCCCATACTGCCTCCATTATTGTTTGGTTGGCTTTTAGATCGTTTAGCAACTCGAGTTCGGACAATTCTTGGTACTTCCTATACAATCAAGAAGTTATAGACTATTCTGATTCATAAGGTATACCTGGATAAACGATTCATCACGAGAATTCTTCACATAGATTCTTGGGACTCGCATGGAAAGTCGTCCTCTGTCCAACAGATCATGATTCTAAACAAATAAATTGAAGAATTGAATATATAGTATGAAGATGTTGTATGATTAACTTACATTATACCCAATAGGTATAACTAATGTCATCTTTCAGTCCTTTTCTCTCTCAAAACACAGTTTTTTAGACAATTTTCATGAGAAGTAAGAAGAGAATGCTGGAGAATTAGAGCTTTGTTTGCTAGTTTACGTGAACTTTAAAGGAAAACTCATAGAAAAGACGTTGAACAAATAAGGAAAAATGATTTTGTGAACGAAATTTTCAAAAAAATTTCTTTTTTTCGATGAAGATGGAAAGAGGAAAGGTCGAAGGAGCATTGAGGGAGCAGGTTCTGTGATGCCTAGAGGCTTAAGAGAAAGTCTCTCTCTCTCCATGTCTTGCATTGTCTTCGAAGATGTTGTATGGGGAAAGCTTGTGGCTCGCAGAAGGTAGAAGCTTTAGTTGTTTGATTAGAAAACTAAAATTATGAAAGAGAAAAGAAGGAGTTAAGGAGATTAAGAAATGAAAGAGAAAATACGTTTTGAGAGAGTTCCTTTAAACCAATAAAAAAGTGTTTTTCATTTGACAAAAAAAAAAGTAAGAAAAACACAAGTTGACCTGGAAAATGCGAACTCGATAAGAGGGGACAATCGTCCTTTTATGGCCAGATTGATGACCGCTTTTGTCAAAAAAAATTCACACCTAATAGTGAGAATTCTGATGAGAATGATTTTCAAAATGAAAGAAGACGTCTGATGACAGAAGAAATCAAAATTCTGACGACAACCTTGAACTTTAGCAAATCTTTTGTGAGGTTTGTGGAAGTTTAGAGAAAATCCTAGGAAATGCTTTTCGCGGTGGATCATCTATTCTGAATAGAATGGTAGGGAGACAGGGACAGAGAGAAAGAGATTGGGAGAGAGAGAGAAATGAAAAGAAAATGTGGGATTTTCAGAGAAATTTTGCTTCAAATCAATACAAAACAGTCATAAATGAAGTTTTTAAGCAGAGAAGACCAGAGAGAACAGAGAGGAACCATATTTGGATGTTATGAAAGAAAAAACAGTAAGCAAGCTTATGAAGGAGTTATTTATGGTATGGGAAGATGATTTCCATTGATAAAATGATAAATAAACAGGAGGTCCAAAACATTTTTGCAAAAAAAGAGAATAAGTGAGGCGTTTATGTAAATGAGAGGAATGTTTAGGAATTAAAAAGGAGAGCGAGAGAGGGAGGTGACACTAAACGGATCTGTAACTCGATATCATACACGAGAATGACAAGAATGGACAATGAAAGAAATATTGATGTGAAGAAGATTGTGGATGGAAGCATTGGTAGTGGAAAAGCAGCTGGAAGCAAATGTAATATCAATCGCTCTAAATTAAAAAGATAAAAGAAAGTTACAAAAAGGGAAAAACAGAAGTTTACATAAGATGTGTGACCGCAAAAAGTCAATGAAGGACATTGGGTAAGAAGGGGGGGTTGAGAGACATATTGGGCAAATATGGAAAAAGACGTTTTTACACACACATGGCTTTTACCGGAAAATTTAAGAAACGAAATGTTGTCCGGTTAATTCGGAAAGAACATAATGGATTAGAAGAGGCTTTTAACTGAAGTCTATTGGAAACGAAAACGAGGGGCAGGAGATGGTTTGCAAGATTACAAGTAAAGGCTTAATCATCCTTTTGTAAAAGATTTAATATAAAGGAAACGAAAAAACATAAAAGGATAAAGAAAAGTCGAAAAAGATAGTTGAAAAGAAACGAGTTTTCATCTGCATGCCGATTAAAAAAAGAAGAAAATGCCCTGAGGGGTGTTTTTGAAAATTCTACCGTATTCAGGTGTGATAGTGTTGAGAGAAAGGAAAAATCATGAACAAACTCACATCAGAGTAGAAATCAGATAGTTCTAACTTGTTATTCTTGACTATTATTAAAGCTGAGACGGTAGATTGAGCTCGTATGACACAATATTTAGCCATTTAAGGATATGAAGAGAGGAAACAGTCATTGACACCTCTACTTCACATTCAAAGGCGTACCGCCTTTTCTGTTTGAATCTTTAACTCTCTCACTTCACCATAGTATATCTTATAAAGTTCTTTTAACTCACATTATGAAGAGTGCTGAAGAAGAAGAAATAAAAGTTTAAAGACCCCCTTAGTCGGGGTTAAGAAAGTCAAATAAGGCAGTTACTCCCTCTCATTCTTTTTCATAACCATCTCTTCAAACTACTTGGCATAAAAACTCATTTTATCATCATAAATTTCAATTTCACGTCAAATTTGCATATCCTTGACCCACGTACGTAAGTTTTCATTTACAATCTCATAAACGCATTGGGCGGTTGCTTTATTTTTAGAAACATTTTTTTCGTTACCTGATTAAGTATTTGTCGAACTGAATAAATCCGTTCCGGCTCATGTTGTTTCAAAATGGCCGATTTGCTCATCTGAAAGGGAGAATTCTTGAAAAACTGAGTTTTAAGATGATGAGAATGCTATTTTCAGGAAAAAAGGAGGTTTAGAACGAGAAAAACTTGTATGATATGAGATGAAGATGACTTAAGGACCATTCATCGGACCTAATTGTATGCGAGTGAATGAAAAAAATATTTTCTCGTACAAAATAGGATTAAATATATCAAAAAAACATAGTTAGGTTAACCATATACGTATAGATAACTTATATTTATACAAGATGAAGAAGAAGAGAAGAAGAAGAGAAGAAGAAGAAGGTGTGTTGAGTATAAGATGACACAAAGATTCTTCTTTTCATAATTGTTCACCAAAAGATTTTCAATAGATTCTCGTTGGCTACAGAATTCAGATGAACTCTGTGATTCATTTGAAAGGATTAGAATTCTTTTGTCTTTCCCTCTTAAGCATACAACAAGAGGAATATCAAGAGAATTCTCATAAAACACGTCTTTGGCTTAAAAAATTAAAAAGTTTGTAATTTTGGCATTTCAGAGAGACGAAGCGGAGACACAAATTACAAGTGTCGAGCAAACTTCGAATGATATGGGAGACAAGAAATCGAGAAGATGAAAGAAGAAATGTCTTACCTCGTCTTCATAAAAACTATTATTATTATTAATATTATTATTATTAAGATTAGTTGTGCTGTTGTAGTATATCGGCGACTGAGGTTTCGGCAGAACAGCTGTTGATCCAGCGATGCTCAAATTAGTTGTCGGACTACAAAAATCCTGAAATTACAAGAGTTTGCTCTATGAACCCTAAGTTTGACAAAGATCAGTTTGTTAGCGGAACAGTTTGTAAACGAGAGAAGTGGAAGCCTATGAAGTGAGGAACCTGAGAAAAGCTATGTTCTTTGCAGAAAAAAAAATATTCTTGAGAGGAAAGAGTTGAAACTGACAGAAAAATTTATTTTAATTCTACAGGGAAGTCACATCCATTCCATTCTTGTTAAGTGGTCTTATTGACAAGAGTAGATAAGGGAGAGAGAGAGGACAGAAGAGAGACGACGCGAGATTCATAAGAAGAGAGAAATAGAGAGTAAGAGATGGAGGTTGGAGGTGAAAGAAATAATCGAAATGATCCTGGATAGATCCGGTGCATGTAAGAGGAAGATCCGTGTGGTCAAATTCAAGAGTTTCAACTTCGGAAAAAACATAAAAGAAGATAATTGAGACTTGATCAAGCTTGTTGAGGAATGTTTGATAATCTTGAGATTTGTAGATTCGGCAGGCCAACAGAAGTAGTAAACAGAAAATAAAAATATTTGTCAAAATAAGGGAAGTTAGGTTAGAGATCGAAGGTAGTGGAGGAATGCGACCGCTCTATGAGCAATTTGCGAGAAGAATGAAATCTAAGGTTTACGAATATGCAAATTGTAACTCACGTCTTGGATAGAATTGTTTAAAGCTTCAATGAGTGATAACCGTCTTCGATTATAATTGAAATTCTGAAAAATGAAGTGTGAAAAGAGAAGGTAAAAAAGAAATTTGAATATTCTACACAAATATAACTTTGTATTAAATTTCTATTTATGGCCACATAGGGAGAATATATACAAAGGTTTGTGTAGTTACATCGGCTTTACTTGGCTCTTTCTCTCTATGTACATAAGTTTGTAGAAAATAGACGGCATAAGACAAATAATTCAGACAATTGAAGATGAAAAACTTCTTTTTTTTACTGACTTTCCCATTATTTGACAGCTTTTCCCGCACAAGTGATCAGCTCATTGGCAGAAAGCTGAACTTCGACACTTCATGTTCTACTTCACATCCACTTTGGCACACTTTCATGGATTCCCCTTTTTAAGGTTATAAAAGGAACTGTAATTACAGCATCAGCCTTCCTGACGTTTCTGGCATCAAATGGAAAAGGCACAGAAGGTCATTTCCTTTCAAAAAGGCTTTTTTTCTACGAATTCAGGAAAAAAAGCTATCATTAGAAGACTTGGTCGAGATTTAAGACCAAAATGGAAATTATCCAAAAATGATTCTTATTGATGGACGCTTGCTGAGCCAAATATGGAAGAAAAATGAAAATTTTCTTTTAAGATGGCTTTGCTCCATCGCAAATGAGCAAAAACAACAAAACTGGAAGAAAAACAAAACTAAAATACGTTTGAGAAAATATATTCAGTTGACCTCCAGTAGAGCTTGAAACTCACAAAGGAAGACTAAAGGCTGACTTTGGCAATACGGACAAAGTATGTCCATTGAAAATCACAAAAGACGTCATGTGCATATATGGACTGCTGATGTAATTGACATTGAAATAGGCAAAATCAGAAGAATATCCAGAATTGGAAGGAAAAGCTGAAGAAACATCTGAATTACAACATTTTCCTGTCCTCAGCTATACGACGGCGTAGTAATTCATAGGTTACCTCTCTCCCTTCCTCTCTCTCACTCGTATTGCTTCCACCTCACAAGTCTCACAACACCCGAAGAGATTTGTACATGAATTTGCTTATAATTATTGCACGGCAATTAACGTATTTCCCAATGTCGGCTATAAGTCATCCAAGTGGCTTCCGAACTTTCTCTTCTCCTCTACACAACTTAGGAAAAAACACTTCATGACATGGATTCCTCTCACCATATGTAACATCACGTTATTTGATTAGAGTACTATTTGTTTGTTCCATAAAAGGTAAGACTCACATTATAAGAAGTTGATTGCAGCATATTTACAGGCAGATTCAAGCTGATCGAGGCTGCCAAATTGACTGGATTGTAACTTTTGGAGGAATAAATCTGCAAAGAAACGATTGAGAAGAAGATTGTTTGAAACGAGAAAAACGTTTATTTGAAAGAAAAATCGTTTGTTAAAAGCCGTCTTTAGAGGATTCAGGTGAGATTACTTTAAAAGGAAATGAAAGATAATGACGATCTGATTAGCAATCAGTCCATCTTAATGATAAATCTGTTTTTGACAAGGAGATATCACTTGTTGACTGAAGAAATAAGGCGAAAATCATATTTGAAATAGAAAAAAACAAGAGGAGAAGATGTTCTATTGCTGAACGGAATTCTGGTTGAGAAAGTGAAATGGGCTTCATATGAACTTAATTGACTGGAATGGAAAAAACTACAAGCTGTGAAGGGCAGAGTATTGGATTGATGACAAATATTAGCTCAGACAAGGCTTAATTTGTATTGTAACGGATGGTTTATGGGAGAAAGATGATAGCTAACTATAGGTGAGACATAGTTTTCAAGCTTCATCAACATGTAAATGTTTCAAGTGGGCTTCGAAATGAAGCTAATAGTGAGACGTTACAAATTTCGATGATTGCCCTCCGGCAAGCTAAGTGGCCAAAAGGTATGAAGATGAAGGGCAACTGGATGATGATTGAGTTTTGAGAAATGAAGAAAATTGGTCAAAAAGAATGAATAGTATGTGAGAAGAAGAGACGTCAGTGAAGAGAACAAGGACGACGCCGGTAATCTGTGGGCAGATGAGCCGAAAGGGAGAAATGAATCCAAATATGTAGAATTGCACAAACCAAGTGACAACTACACACAGGTATACGTGTGTACACACAATGTTCATTTCTTACAAATTTCCGGTTGAAACGAACTGTCTATAGAAGGCTTTAACTCCTTTTAACAAATATAAATAGAACTCTGGTTCAATGCAAATTTATGAACAACCGTTCTCCTGCAGGGTGTCAAATGAAAATGAAATTGAAACGTGATGTGTACGTGGGTCGCGAGTTGAGATATGCTAATGAGGGTTAATAAAAGATGAATTTAGGATATGCAAATGAAGGCAATGAATTAATGCGATTATATGAGAAAAATTAGTTTAGATGACCACAAATTCTTCTTGGAAGAGACAAAATGGTTGAGAGATTAGCCGGTTGCGCTTCCTTTCCTTTTTCGTCCGTCTATGATAAAGAAGAGATACGAATGTTTTCTGTGAGAGAAAAGTTATAATGAACTTGAGAGAAAATGCCTCAAGGCTGAACAAGAATTGAGAACAAGCAGTTGATAAACAGAAGCACAAGAAGAAGAAGTAGCAGAAGAAGAAGCTTTTGTGTTTGAGGGTTTCAGAAGAAAAAAAGTCAAGTACTTCCTGCTTCTCGCTTTTATCTTCTGAACTAAATTGCCTCAAGGCGAAAAAACTGATAAAGAGGCATATTTACCTTCACAGCTATATCTTCTCTAAGAAATTACAAAAACTGTTTACCTGCGATATCGCGTCCAAATCATTCAAACCATACATTCTGAAATAAATTCTTTGAAGAATAGAAGATAAAACGACGGATTAAACATAAGAATTGAGGATCATCATGGATTTCTCGAAAAAAATCGGAGAAACATCTCGGATTTTCCTTTCGCTGTACAAGAATCTTCCACACAAAGTACAATGGAATGAAGGAGAAGGAAAAACGTCTTTTGGACAAACAAACTTTTAAAAAAAATTGGCCAGTTCCACGTGAATTTTACATTTTCTCGCTTCTCGCTTTCCCTTATTTATTTTTTATTTATTCGTTTGAAATTCAAGCTTCTGCCATTCCCAACGATCTCTCTCATACACTGCAAACTTCTCTATATAATCTCGGAAAGCGTTTAGATGGAAACTTCTTCTCCTCAACATGGACGTTGAAGTCTTACTTCCTTCACACGTCATGTCTGATATTAAGTCAACACTAGCTTCCAATTCTTGTTTTTGTTCCCAAAAAAAAACGAAATACTCGCTCGAAACTTTTCACGTTCGTCGCAAGAAATTTACATCCAAAAGAATTTCTTTCCATTTTCTAAATCATATTTCTTTGTGATTTATGACCGAGAATGAATGGACGAATGAGTGTAAGCTATCAACCACTCTTATCGTCCGAAACCTAGCAAGACATTGTCTGAAGTAGAAGTTCACGTGCTGCTATACGTATACGTCGAATTAGAGTAGAACGAATATTGTTTGTCGTCATAATGGAGAAACAGAATCTTTCTTAGTCATAAAAGGCTATTATACTATGGAAGGCATAGCAACCGGAGCATTCAAACAGAAATTTCGTTAGGAAAAAGAATAAACTGAATACAACAGAGCTAAGATTATGAAATTTTTCTTTTCTTGATAACATCCGAAGGAATGGTCAGTGGAAAGGGTGGGAAATGGTTGTGGAGGATACTTAACAGAGTCATTTGAGGAAGAAAAGATTCTAAAGGATTGCGAAGGATGCTTTGCCATCACAAAAAGCTAAGTGGTTATTCAACTATTAAAAACTATCTGAATATAAACTGCATGTTTTCATTAATGGTTTGGGTCTATTGACGCACAGAATACAGACACCTAAGCTCTTAGAGACCTTCTCTCTTCCTCGTTGCATCTATTCATTGACTCTGCTTGTTACCAATTTAATCCTTTACTGACCGAATTGTATCAGCAGCAGGTAACCTCTTCAAAATATCATATGGTATAATAGAAACCTCATAAGCTTGCTAAAGTGGCAAACCTATTCGAATATTAATACATTGGACTACAGATAGTGAGTTGTTCTAAAAGATGAGTTCAAAAGGAGCAGAAAAACAACGACTGAAGTTTAATGAAGAAAATTGAAATGAGTGGAGGTTTGCTCGGCTCGTTTACGATTGAAATTCGAACAATGAATTAATGCTTATAAGCTGGCAAACAGGTTTATATGGCTTGAAGCATAAGTATCAAATAGAAAAATTGGCTTAGTTCATTAATACGTTCATCATGTTCATAGTGGACATCTTATCGACGGCAAAAGAACAGCACGTGTAGACGAGAAGTCTCTCTTGAACGAAAAGCTGCGTTCATTGACGACGTCCGAGACAACGTCCGACGACAGCAACGACGATGTTGAAATCTAGTCTTTGGAAGTTTGAAAAGAGAAAAAGCTTGAAGAATTCAGTATACACTTCTCATTTACAAAAGAACAATGGAATGTGAGCGCAATTTTTGAGTTTGATAAAGCAAAGTCATTAAATGGAATGGTAAAGGAAAAACAAACGGTTATGGCGTACGGCAAAGGATTTTCAATAAGTCATTTTGGAAAAGTTCTTAAAAAGAAATCAAGGATTCGTTGTAAAACATGTAATGCCAAAAGAAGAAAACAAGTTGAATACTAATGAAAGCAGAAGATAATTAGAGGAAAGCATCATGGGAATGTCATTGAAGGTTTAAAAAGGGAGATGGAGAAGAGAAGATGCTGTTAAGGTCAAACTAGAACAACGATTAAGTTAAGAAGGTTGTGATAAGCTCTAAGTTGATAAAATTCATGAATATACTTATAATTCAATTTATACTTTTAAAAAAAACTATACGAATCTTACTCTAGTACAGGCTGAAAACATACAGATGACAATCATGGCTGCCATGGTAAGAAAGGGAGAGAAAAGATTTTGTTTCTGATAACCAATTACGAACCAATAAACTTCCTTCTTAAATACAAATATAAACATGTCAACAACAAAAAAAGCTGCGTGAACGGTTTCATATGTAAAGTTAGTAGAGGGGGAGTTCTGGATATATGAATGCAACCGCTCTGCGCGTGGAGATGAATAACAATGAAAGTATTTCACGGATTTCACGTGAAATTTACTTCGAATAAGCATACTCAATAGAGGTAGAGAGAATGATTCGTTCAAGATAAGACGAAAGACGCGAGACGCGAGAAGCATGGAATTCTGTTTCCATTCGCCTCGGGCAAATATTGACAATAGTGGACAAATTTCAGAGCAGGTATCTGATAGTCCAGTGAGAAGATACAACATCTAAGGTAACGAGAGCAATATCAATTTCTTCTCCAATGTCTTAGCTTTTTTCCTTTCCTGACTTACTTTAGAAACCAGTTCAGAGATTGTTTAAGAAATGGGAGAAGATGTATGGTTCAATGGAAATCTAGGAGGAACTATTCGAGTAACCCGACACACATGATTGCCGCTAACTCGGCTTGTAGTAGTAATAATGAATCAAAGAATGAGAAAATGATTTTGCTAAAGATCAAATCGCGATTTATAGTTAAGAGCTTGAAGATCAAGGAAAATCTCATTTTTCACAAGAACAACTCAGTATTGAAAGAAGGCAGGAAATAGCAACTGATGTTGTTTGATAGTTTGACCCTTGACGAAACAATATCACATCGTACGGAAATGAAAAAGTTCTTCTGAATGGGGGTCAAGTTTTGGTAGAAAAAAAAACAAGTTTTGCTTTCTTGCTAGCATTTATGTAATGAATATGCTAATGAGCAAAACATTTTCATTGTCTCGTGAAAGACTATGTGATCAGCACGTTAAGGATGCTTTGGTCAGCTGCTAGTCTACCTGGACGTTCAAGCCTGTCCTAATGAACAAACGTTTGATGACAGCCTAACAGAAGGGACAGGAAGAATAGAAAAAAAGCGTAAATCCAGTTATCAGCTGATGAACAAATCTCAAAAATAATAAAATCTTTATATTAATTTCTATATATATATATGGAATAACATACTCGACAGATGAAGATGTATATAATTCTTAAGAAAATGGTATAAGAACTGGGGACTCAGAATAACATGGAAAACAAAGTAAAGAAGACTAGATGTAAAATCAAAAAATCTTTGAGCATTCGAAAAACATACCCTCGTAATCAAACTGTGGAGCAATCATCATTCACTGAGATTGCGCGAGAAAAAAACTATTTTGAATATAATTGCTAAACATAACTATGCACATTCGTAAAAAAAACTATGAATTAGTGTTAAACAACAAACTATATAGACATCAATCTGCGTAGAAGTTCGTACACACTATTAGTGATTCCCCAAGCCAGCAGAGATCGTGTGAAATTCAAGTGAACTCCTAAATATAATCCTCGTATGGATGCGTTCCTTTCCTTCCAAATTTCCGTGAAAACTTTAAATGGGTTTTCAAACTGGGCTCCAACCTACAAGTGCCTCATTGATTTACTTACAACGTGTTAGAACTCACTTTGCTCTGCATATGGTTCTTAACAACATTTAAGGGATAGAATAGAGTTGAAATGGAGGCTCCTAGCACTGCTCCTGATATGAAATCTGCGACAATTTGTAACACGTTATTGGGCAACGGTAATTCAGAACGAAGAACCTTAATGGAGATGCTCTTCACGGTATGTATGAAGTTAACTTACCATTTGCTTGAAAGGTTCTCTGAAGGTGAAAAACAGGGAATTCGAAAGACTATTTCTAGCCATCACCACGGAGAAACCTCGGTAATACTCACGATAGCCGTAACCCTGAAAACATACTATCTCTTTAGTATAAACTTGGGCAGATACCTTAATTGCTCTCAAAGCTGCCCCCGTATTTTTGAAGTCGTCGTGATAACGAGAAGTTTGTAGAAGGACCTGTACTCTTTCTAGTGGACACAAAGATGCTTCACACAATCCTGCTAAAATCATACTGTTAACGTTTCAACTGAAACTGTCTTTCACCCAAGAACGCTGCTTGTGCGTGACAAATTGAAAGAGAAGTATTAGGCGGTGAATGGGGGCAGGATAAGGTTTCCTGAATGATGTTGTTGTTTGAGCATCAGAAATTTCATATTACCTGAAATTTATCGTAAAGCCCAAACATGAGAGCTCGTGAGGAAGTTCTCATGATGAGCGGAGGTAGTAGTCCTCGATAGAGTAGACTTAAACCTTCTGATTTCAGCTGAAATACATAATTTCGTAAAAAACCTTGTTCGAGAACAGAAAAATACCTGTCCTACGGCATCTTTGGCAGTGAAACCATGTAACTGCTGCCGAAAAATTATTTTATACGATGGAAAAAGCAAACATGTTTCAATGCAGCCAGCAGCCCAGCCACAAAGAAAGTCCAGAGTATGGGTTCCTATAACACGATTGGATTAAAAGAAGCTAAAATATCGAACTCACGTTTTGTTTCTTTTTCTTTTATTTCAGGACGAACCATTTTTGTTACACCTTTTATCTAACTATGACAACTCTCGTTCCACTATTTCAAGAGATACTCCTTCAATCATACCATATTAGATAAGATAAGGTACCTAAAAAACTAATATAAATGAAATGCGAAGTGATTTTTAACCAAAATCAAAGAGGAACCAATGAGTTGTGTAGACCAAAAAGAAATCAGAAGAAAATTCTTTCGATTGCAACAGAAAAGCTTTAGAAGAAGCTTAAAAACTCATGTGTTTGATTAAAGCACGCCGTTAGCAATAAAATGTTTCCGCAATAGAGCGTGGTCAATATACAAATTTAACATTTTCATTTCACAGACCTAAACTTTTACTTTTAATTTATTTCTATATTCTTTTCGTTTTATGATAATTTAATATAAGAAATTGCTTCTTCAGGTTTAATCATGGATCTCACTAAAATACAGCTTCATTCAACTGATGTTGTAAAAGTTGTTGAGCCTTACGTGGACACGGGTAATTTGGTTATTATGGACAGAGTCCCCATCGAACCAGAATCAGTGGAGTTAGCAAAGTTTTTTTTCATTTTTTTAATTTAGTATTCTTCAGATCAGGCTTATTAGATAGAGCTCGTGATAATACACAGCTGTTATTCAACAAAATCTGGTCTCTTGAAAGAAAAACTGTTGATAATATGGCATTCGCCAAGCTGCCAACCCCCTCCTACAGATTACCAAGAGAAAAGAGGGTGATTATAACACCTCCAATGAACTTGAAAGCAAATTTGTGATTTCTAGATACCTGAACCTAAAGAGCCGACCAAGTGGGAGAAATATGCTAAAGAGAAAGGAATCGCCAAGAAGACCAAAGACAAAAAGGTATGAGTCCTATAAATGACTTTCTGAAATCTTCTCTTTTTTAGGTTTATGACGAACATTCCAAAGAATGGAAGCCTACATATGGTTATAAGAGAGCTAATGACGACACTAAGGTGCCATATATCGAAATTCCTGGAAATGGAGGTATGTGATATCATGCTTTCGTTCAAATTATTTCTGGCTGTTTCAGATATTTACAAAGACTATTTCGCTGAACGTAAAGAGAAGAAGAAGGAGAGAGTAGCTAAGAATGAAACTCAGAGATTGAAAAATCTTGCCCGCCAACTAAAAACAAAAGTATTTTTTTGTTTTCCTTCATTTCGAACTGTGGTTTTTGCAGGTCAAGACTGGGCCATCCATTGATTCTAACATTGGTCTTGGTATCGCTCCAGAGGACAAATCCAAACAACAGGTAAATCATTGCCTCTCCCTTTCGACTAAAAATATTTTTAACAGGTTCGATTCGCTATTGATAGAGCCAAAGCTGCCACTGCTTCTGTCGGAAAGTTCCAAAGACTTGCAAAAGGAGAGAAAGAAAATGTCAAAACTGGGAAAAAGAGACAGGTTTTAATTTTTTATTTTTTAAAATAAAAATTGTTTTTGCTCTAGTTCCAACCCACTATTGGTGCCATGGCTAGTGAGAAGTCTCGATCTCTGGAAATTCTGGAGAGAATCAAAAATAAGAAACCCAAAACTAGGTAATGGTTCATCTCTGTTGGATGGTAAATATTCTGCTCATCGTTGTTGTTCTTGTTTCTGTTATGTTTTGAATTGTTCATTGTTATCTGTTCAGACCATTCTTCCAATAAATTTTTCTATATCAACTGATTAGTTTCATAAACAAGTGTCTGTCTCTAGAATGTAGTCGATTTAGGCTTCTGAGAATAGCTCCAGAACGTCCGCAATTTTTCGAGAAGGAACAAGGAAAAGAGAAATGAGGAACTTGACATTCAAAGGAAATGTTGCATTCGGAAAAAACGAAAACATTTGTAAAACTAATTCAATTTCTAATGTTATTTCCGTGCGTCTAATAAAGTTTAAAACTTCTCAATGTTTCCAAAAGATCATCTGCCAGTTGTATGCTGCAAGATATTGATTGCCGGCCATTCGAAGCACAGAGGAGAATGTGTCTCGAGGCTTAAGCTCATATTATTTTTATTCTCTTTGAGTACCTGAATATGATGTGAGTTGAAAACAAAACTTGTCATAGGTTACTGGAACAGTTGATTGGTGATTAGCTCAGACATCTCCCTTCCGTTTTCAACCCCTCGTCCGAAGTGATCGATAATATGAGCGATATGTTTTATTTATAGTTTATAATATTATCGATTTTTGTGAGCTTTCATAGCACTTGACCGCATGCAGCAGCTCTTACTTTATCTTTTCATCATTCTCCGGTGAAGGCATCGATTTGAAATTAATTTCGAGAGCCGGCTTAAATGGCTACTTGTTATTTCGTGCGTCACAACAAACTTTAGTAATTGTGTTCTATTTATATTTATCAATGCTTCTTGAAGTTTGCGGTACTTCGAGAAGATTATCTTTCTCACGTAGTTTTCACGTAAATGGTCGCTTCATTTTCACTACAAATGACGTGAGAGACGGTTGTGTTTTTCACCCATCACCTCTTCTCTCCATATTCTTGAAAGATTCCGTCACGTGTTTAGAAGAAGAAATGACTAATCAAAGGATGATGAGTCTTTCTTGGATTTCTTTCTTTGTCTTTGTTTCTCATTCGCTTTACTACCATAGTTTCAAAACGTTTGACTTTCTTCAACTTCAAGTAGTAGATTTGCTGTTCTGCTCAATCCAAATAGTTAGCATCAGAACAGGTTTCATGTGACTTATTTCAAGTTTTATTCAGTTCATTATGAATTTTTACGGGGCCATCACCTTAATTTATAAATAATAGAATGAGAGTTGCGCCCGTTTGATCTTAAGTTTTTTCTTAGCATCTAGGAAGTTGTTATCTACTATATACGGAAGGATTAGAAAGCAAAGAGAAGACTTTGTCCTTCTAAAAAACTTTTCTATCTTCCTCAAAATCTTTAGCACATGTGGCAAGATGTGCAAAGGGTCAGCAACACTTTCATGACCATCAAGATTTCATGATCCCTCCGCATTTTAAAAGACAGTTTTGTTATCTGATGTTTTAGGCAGCTTTCTATAAAAACAGAAGAAGGTTGGAATGAGAGAGATAGAGAAAGAGTCTTCTAAAAAAAGAAAAGGCTGCCTTCTAATATGTTGTTTGCTTCCGTCTTCCGTTATATCTCATAATTTATCCATAGATATATCATCCAAATGTTCTCTAAACACTTATTGCTAACCTTGCTTAAGATGATATTTATGTTCCATTATGGCTTATTTGGAAAGGTGAAGAAAGACATCGACACATGTTATTCACGTGATAAATTTCATTGTTTGTGAAAGAAATGTCTGTCTATCATCTACGAATTGTTGACTTTCGAACTTCATTCATCTCACAAAGCCTTTACCCAAATCTTCACACCTCTTTCAATTCTCCTTTTATTACTTTTTTCCTGAATATTCTCTTTCATACGTAGATCTGCAAAGCTATGCTCAACTAGAATGTCAATCAAGTAGCTGTAGAAGTAGTTTCAGGTGTAATCCTACGTAGTTCCAAATAAATTTCAACAAATTATCAATTTAATCAGTTGATAATACGGACGATAACATTTGGAGAAGACACCGTTGATATGATTATTCACAATCACGTATCTTTTATTCTGGCTTCTTTATCAAACAGCTTCCAGAACAGCAACCACCCTCTCCATTTTGTCGTGGTTCATCTTATCTTCCTCGACATGAAGATACCTTCTGCTTGGTTTTAACGTAACTCAAAGCTGAAATTAGCATATTCTATTGATCCCATTTAAATTTCGTTTAGCCGCGCAATTAATCTGCATCTGAAAGAGTAAATTTACACCATTAGCCGACTAGGGTCCAAACATATTGAAGTCGCGTCTAGTTACAACCGGTTCTCTTCTCAAAATCTTTTTTTTACTGTTTAAGCTCCAAAAATCAGATCACTTCTCGGGTCACGTGGGTTCCTCGTGAGTACGACGCCACGTGAACCTTTCATAATCATTTTCAACTGCTACCGTCTTGTGATACGGTCGGTTCTGCGATAAGGAGTTTGTGAAAGTAAGGTGGGTGTACAGCATTTAACACTTCGATATTCTCTAACTCATTTTTATCAGATATTTCAATTTTCCAAATGGGCGTTCGTTATTCTTATGAGCAAGGGTCTCCTAATAGTAAAGCAAAAACAATAATTGATCAAAACGATTTTGAAAAGATGGTTAGTGTTTTCGGTTCGGGCGAGGGAGAGCTACCGCTCTAAAAGCTTCTTTACCTATATTAGCTCGCGCACGTTTCTGTCTTCTTGTTTTTTGTTTGAACGAAACGATACCTGTATTGGAGTCTACCTGTATTGGAGTCTCTTTTCCATTGTACGCTATCTTTCCATGCTGGCTATGGGGGATCACGTCAGCTTGGAATTATATATGTATTCAGCTTTGGAGGGAGAATTATTTTTCAAATAATCATGATAGCAGTAGCAGTTGTTCTCGTAAGCAAGTACGCATTGCGAAATTTGTATCAGCTTCTTTAATGGTTCTATTGTGTACGTTCTTGAATTCTTAATAACTATTTAATGGTGTTGAAATTAGTTCGATAAAACACTGATGCCATTCTTATCAAGAGTTGGGAGTTTTTTTTCGAAATCAAACAGAACTTCTGGTTTGATAAAAAGTTTATTTTAACTGCTGCTTTAGTTCACTTTGATAATTCGAGATCATAATATCATTCCTAAGTTAATAATCACAGTGTCGGGCAACTGACTGCGATTAGATGTTAATAAGGAGTGTCTTTGAACTAATTGAGATTCCTTTGTATTAATGCAACCAACGGTTTAATTAGTTTATCTAGGACAGCTTTGTCGTGCCAAGCTCTTCTCGACAAACTCACACTTATGAGTTGTTTTAGCTTTTCCGTTGCCAGCAGTTTGTGGCTTCGTTTCTCTGAAAAGTCGCGCAACAAAAAAATATATCTTGCTCAACATACACAAGCTATTTTCCTTCAGTTCAACTCAGTTCATTCTTCATATCAACTGATAGGATGCATGCTGGAGAAGGAAGGATTAATTTTATGTTCGCTAGTGTTTATTTTCAAGCATCTGAAAGCTTCTTTGCCGTGGTTTTAATCAGTCCTTCATAGACTTTTATCTCCAATCCTTCCTGTTTTTATAGCTATTTCATTATTATTGCTTCATTCCGAAAGATTTCAAATATTGAACGCAGCGTTGTCGATAATTGTTGGAAAGTCTTTATGACTTATCAATCTTTTCCATGAAACACTTTTTTTTGACCCGCCCGAGGGAATATACATGCTGATTGTTCCAATTATCATATCAGGATTATACTAGCTATCAATATCAGCCTCTCTGTTCATTCGTAAACTTTCTACAAACTTTAATGACAAACGAACTTGCTGTTTCATTCAAAACAACTATGCAACTGCTGCTTTCATCACCTGATTGACCAGAACTTCGCTCTCTCAATCTGAGACTTCAATGAGTTCTGACAATAGCCAATGTATTACCTCCTTATAGACTATGTACTATTGATGATCTTCCTCTCATATGATTCTTGTTGTTACTTTTCAATTTTATCTTCTTCTCAAATCTCAATCCAGTTTCATCCTACTTTTTTCAAATAACAAGTTGAATTGTTTCATTTTCTTTGATACATGTCACATCTCATTTTCTTCTCTCAACAATATCTCATTTTAGATGCCAAACGCTACGAATGGTGTTCTCTTCTATAACCCTGAAGCTAATAATGCAGAGCACGAGCAGGAACAAGAGCCTGAGAAGTCACAAAACATACTATTGCATGAAATGGTTGAGCAGCTTAAAAACTGTACCTTGAGTTAGTTTTATTTATATTTTCAAACTATGTGGAAGGATACTCGCACAATAAGGGCTTCTTCCCAATTGTCCTGGATTGAGTGTTATTTTATGTTTAGAGTTAAGAAGAAGCGAAATAAGAGACGATGAAGAGAAAAGTATAAGTTACGAACGTACACATCGTGAGGTTGTACCTTGAAAATAATGACTCTTTTATACTTAATACTATGATTAAAGCAAAAGAACTCTCGAAGTAAGACAAAAACAAAAGCTGATAATCAAAAAGGTTGTTTGATTTTTGCTACCAAGTTGTTTGAATATGGTCTTATCTTAGGTGCTTGTGAAAATAGGTTGAGAGTAATGAATCGCTCCAAAGAAAAAACTTTTCCATTCTTCATCAGGTGTCTGAAAATTTTGATGAAGATGACGAGCCCGATTTTGAAAAACTCCAACGGTTGCGCTCGGCTACAACTAATAAGTTTGATGTATCCGCTGTGCTGAGGTGGGGTCTAGTGCTCAGATGTTGATTTTCTCTGTTTCTTTGAATTAATCTCGCAACTACACCTCTTAAGGGACAAACATTTGTCTTCAACGTTACGGCAAAGTTTGATTATGATGAAAGATGATCAAATCTCTAATGATGATCTGCCATGCTCAACAAGTTTGCTTGTTTCTTAAATAATTTTTTTCTACGAACTTCCCAGAAACAAAGTACGAAAACAAATTCAATATCGATAAATGTCCCAATCTGAAAGCGCAAATTCTAAAAGGTTATTGGTGTTAAAGTTTTTAGTTAATGCTTCAGGTCAAGCAGCAATGGTTCAAAAGGGTAACTTGGGTAAGACAAGTATAGATGTTGTTATAGTGCTAATAGATTAGTCTGAGTAGATATATAGCCAGAGGAAATATGTTCGTTCTCTAACTCATTTTAATTTCAGAATCTGTGGATAGCGAAGTATTTGATAATGGTCCGTTCAAGCATTCTTATGCTATGGGGAACTATGCAGATCATCATGTCACTTCTCCATTCGAGCTTTCAACCACTCCTATCGAAGTCAATGAGAGTCGGTTGCATAGAACAATAGAAATTCAAAATAGGTGAGCATTTTTCATTCTTTCTCTTCAATCGCTAGAATGGCTTTATGAAAATTCGCTTAATAATCATATAGTTATGTTTTAATTATATCCTATCACGCTTTTCTTGATATAGGCAAACGGTACGGCGACAATCTTGCACGTGAGTTGTTTGTTGTAATATTGTATCGACACATCCAACCAGAAAGCTTCATCTATGTGAGCTACAGACGCATAGAATGGTTGTCTTAGCAAGTTCCTTGTTCCTATTCTATCTTTTCATATCATTAGTTAGGCTTCACCTCAGATTCTCGATTATCTATCAAATTTTGAATGTTTTTCTATATGCATTCTTTCGGTTTTGTTATCCAGAAGATGCCATATAAGAAGTCTAGCTTTTTTAAATTACACACCAAAGCTGTATAGATAAACTAAAGCCCGGCAACATCCTTTTTCATTTCCATATTCTGTCTTCTCTGAGTACTTGTATTTCTTATGTCTCGTACAATCTTGATCTACGGGCTGTAAGTTTACTTTCCTTGGGCATTTCCTGCAATTCACCTAGCCACGCATTCCAATCACCACTTCTAAAAGATATTTCGTGCTTTATTCACAACAAATTCTTACAGAGCTCGGTTAGAATCACAGAATGATACTTGCTTATCTCCCAAGAGTGTACCCAGCGTGGGAGCCGGTCCATTCCTTGAAGAGCCGGAACCAAGATGCAAAAGCCCACAACTTGTTCAAATGCATACCTTCAGGTTTACCACTTATCCTACATGAAAGTCTCCTTATCTGTCTATTTTCAGAGATGCTGTTGATGTTAATTATCAAAGAATGGCTATCACTGGAGAAGAATTGAGCGGTGTAAGTGACTTTCTGTTTTTTCCTCTCTTGTTCAGAGCAATCGTTGCATATGAAGTAATGAGAAACATAAATATTAGGAAGATCATGTGCAATGAATCCTTATAGTATTTTTCAACGACTTATCTCACATAAGTCTTCGAATAAACACACCGATCATTTCGAACACTACTATCAAAATATTTTTGGTTCCAGGTTCCATTGGAGGATTTGAAAGAAGCTGCTCATCAATTAATCGAAGCTATGAGTTTGCGGTGTGAATATATGGACTTGATAGGGAACCAGTTCCCCACAACCACCAAGTGTTTTTTAACTGGAGTATATCCAAACGGCTTACCTAAATATCGAAAGAAAAACACACTGAGCAGTAAGTTTATTTTTCCGTATCCTATTTTAGACTTGAAACGTTTTCTCTATTTAAATGCTTTTCGTATTGAAAGAGTTAAAATCAAAACTTGAAAATGATAGAGGCTGATATATATAACTTTCATACCTGGACTTCTGACTAGCGACTATGGTACCTTATTTTCTTCAGATAACGAATTGTGTAGGTTATCTATTACCCTCATTTCAACTTCTACCTCTGTCTACTTTTTTCAAGCCTCAGAGATTTCTTCTATCTGCGTGTATATGTTATAGAGTTGTAATGTGATAGTGTACATCTTTATCCTTAAGCTTTGAGCTCTTCAAGCCACGAAAATGATTCGAATTTCGACTCTTAGTTTACTTGTACGACCTAGAGAGATTATAAGAAGTGTATAAGAGGGGAAAGGAAAATAATGGTGAAATCTGTATATGGGCATTCTCCTTTTTTGCACGATTTCTTAGCGATTCCCTGGGATATTCTACTATCTGCATCGTAGTTTTCTAATTAAGTTATCGTTTAGAGAAGCCATTGAGAGAGGACCGGTCAGAATTGACTTTCGGTAATCAGGACTGAATTTCCTAACGATATAACTGTTGCAATTTTGCTTACTTATATTATCTAACCTAATCTCTCCCTCTGTTTTCCCTTTTATTCGAATGATAATTCTTCTGTGGTTTTATTTTCTCTTCTCTTTTGAGAAAATGCATGCGTGATCTCACAGTCAGCAGTCTATCAGATTCACTCACAATAGGTTTTTCATTCAGAGAAGGTTAATCCATATCCTTCCCTAAATCGCACTCACAATGTTTGCAGATTAATTTTTTTTACTCATTACCCTCCGACATTCGTTGTTATATAGGTTCCATGTTCAGGTGCCAGTACTTCGTTCAACCCGCCCAAAGCCCCAGACGATCATTGGGGACTTCTTGATGATCTACCTAAGTTTGAGAAGACCTACACTTTAAGAAGAAATCTCGGCGTTGTAAGTTTCAGCGTTCAAACAACACTAAACATTTCCGTAGATTGAAATATGTGATGAAACAGGAAATATTGCTGAACAATTCAGCAGATATTACATTACAAAAGAGAAATTCTTGTCTGACTCAGAACGTCTCACACAGATGATTGTTGATGGTCCTTTGTAAGTTGAAGAAACACTTAGCAGTGTTCAGTTATATTTCCAGAAAGTCCTTCTGTTATCGTCGATTGTCTTATCTCCAAAACAAGTTCCAACTTCATGTGCTTCTTAATGAGCTCCGAGAGCTCCATGAACAGAAAAAAATCTCTCATAGAGATTTCTACAATATTCGCAAGGTTGATACTCACATCCACGCAGCTTCGTCTATGAATCAAAAGCACCTTCTTCGTTTCATCAAGAAGAAGATGAAATTGGAGGCTGATACTGTTGTTCTTGAGAAGGTATGAAGGTCCTCCTGTGATGAGAGATATTTTGTATTTCAGGATCAAACGCCAGTAACAATGCAAGAAGTTTTCAAAGCTATCGGAATTGATGCTTATGATTTATCGGTTGACATGCTCGATGTTCATGCTGATCGTAATACATTCCATCGTTTTGACAAGTTCAACACTAAGTAAGTACTAAACAAATAAACGGTTAATTTTTTATGAAATCCAGATATAACCCAGTAGGAGAGTCTACCCTTCGTGAGATTTTCATAAAGACAGACAACTATGTCAAAGGGAAATACTTCGCCGAAGTTCTAAAAGAAGTCTTATCTGATCTGGAAGAATCTAAGTACCAGCAAGCTGAACCACGTCTATCTATCTATGGAAGAAGCAAAGTAAGCATAATTTTGTTTAAATTTTCATGCCTGACTATATTAGGATGAATGGGACAAGCTGGCAGGATGGGCACTCAATAATGATGTATGGTCTCCCAATGTCAGATGGTTAATTCAAATTCCTAGACTTTAGTGAGTTTTTTTTTCAAAATCTCATATCCAAGCAGAACTAAAAAGAGACTGCTGAGTTGGTTAAGTGTTCTAGACTAACTGATTGTTTACAGTGATATCTACAAGTCTAAAAATATGATCAAAAACTTCGATGAAATCTTAGATAACATATTTACTCCATTATTTGAGGTAAAAATAGCTCTTGTTGATAGAAAAGACATAATTATAACAGGTTACGAATGATCCTTCAACTCACCCAGATTTGTATCGCTTCCTCCAACAAGTCTCCGGAATTGACTCGGTAGACGATGAGTCGAAGCACGAATTTGTGAATGTTAGTTAAACTTTCGTTTTGTATCTTACAATTCTTTTCAGTTTGATCGTTCAACTCCTAGTCCTCCCGATTATAAAGACTCTGAGAATCCTCCATACAATTACTACCTTTTCTACATGTATGCTAATATTTGTGCTCTGAATGCATTGAGAAGGTTTGATTTGAAGGAATATGATTCAGTTTCTGTTTCTTCCCTTTCAGAGAGCGTGGAATGTGTACTTTCTCCTTACGTCCTCATTGTGGAGAAGCTGGACATGTTAATCATTTACTAACAGGGTATCTAACTAGTGAAAGTATAGCTCATGGAATTTTACTCCGCAAAGTAAGGACTGAAGGATTGTATTGAAAGATCTTGATTCTCTTAGGTGCCAGTTCTTCAATATTTATTCTACCTTACTCAAACGGGTATCGCTATGTCTCCACTTTCAAACAACTCACTGTTTATAAGTTACCAGCGAAATCCTCTTCCTGAATATCTTCAAAAGGTTCAACTATCCACTTTTCAAATTCAATCATATAGTTTACAGGGTTTAAATGTTTCATTATCAACCGATGATCCTCTTCAGTTCCACTACACTAAAGAAGCTTTGATGGAAGAGTATTCTATAGCTGCTCAGGTGAGTTATTATAATACGTTTCCCTGTTATCAATAAAAAAAACAATGAAGGTGTGGAAATTGAGTTCATGTGATATGTGCGAGCTTGCCCGTAATAGTGTTCTTCAAAGTGGGTTTGAGGATAAGGTAAAATTAGTTTCATTTATTGCAACGACATCCTCTGCCTTAGGTTAAAGTCCATTGGTTAGGACCAAACTACAAGGAGGAAGGAGTTATGGGAAATGACATAAACAGAACTAACGTCCCGGACATCAGAGTTTCCTTCCGTCATGAAGCGTTGGTGGATGAGCTATGCAATTTATTCAGAGTTCAAGATTTGAACGTTAGCGAAGAAACAGAAGAGTAGAAATTTGTGTTTTCACAGCATTTTTTTTGTTTTATTCACATTTTGGTTTGCATTTTGATCGGTTGGTTATCTAAATGTCCTTCCTAATAACTTATATTTGGATTAAAACGCAGAAGGGTGTATTTTTTCTCTCTCGAGTACTCAATGGTTTCGTGTCCTCTAAATCTTTCTTTTTTTGCTTTATTCTCTTGTTGTCTTACTATTAAAGAAGAGCTAGGTTTTTAATATTGTTTATTAAGAACATTAAAAACATGTCTATGATTCAGATTGAAATAAATAGATTTTGAAGATAACCTTTCACATCGATTAAGGTGTGGAATGGAGCTCACCAGCTCACATAGCCGACTGCAGCTTCATGGACGTTTGACGGCTTATATACCCCGCGATGACGCACCACGTGAAAACATTTTTTTAAATGAAAAGAAATTGACCCAGTCGTTCCCTTTCTGGTGAAAGCTGTAACTGCGCTCAAACTTGATGAGATTGAAAATTTATTGTTCAAACCATGTTCATAAGCCTTTCGGCTCAAACATCATGATTGGATTTGAGGAACTGTCGAGGAGCCCAATCAACCGGAAAGCTCAAATTATAAAAAATATTCGATCCTTTTCAATTTTTAATGTAAATTTATTGCTTCTGATTACGGACGTCTGACCCAATGCTAATTACGGTAGCTCCAATCGTTCTGATTACTGTAATAATTTCTTGC